CTTGTTTTGAGTCAATTTTCGCTGGGGCAGGATTTGGTTGGTTTGCCAGGGTTCACCCATTGCGATGAGCGTTTCCAATTATCATACAAGATCCACATCATCACAGGTAATGATTCGATTTAAAATCCCTTTTATTATTATGCCGGTTGACTAATGTAACGCAGCAGACTACGCGCGTTTGTCGATCGAAACGCGAATTGTCCACTCAATTCATGAGGGACCCACCTTTCAAGCTTTTTCACCCTCCCAATTTTCTACAAGTGGATTAATACAGTTTTGTCACTAACACCGCAACCTGCAACTAACTCGGACGTGGTTCGCGATGGATCACAATAGCCTTCAATTCTGCATTACCAACCTTGGACTCCGGCCGCCCACGGGGATTGTTTTGCAGGTCGAAATTTCCAGAACGAAAACGTTGGAACCAAAAATGCATTGTGTTTTCTTTTGCGACACCACCGCCATACACATAATTAATCCGTCGAGCTGTTTCTGCAGCACTAGTGCCATGGCGGAACTCGTACTTGTACTTGTAAATGACGCGATATTTTAAGTTTTCCATTTTGTAAGCTGAGTGACCCAAAGAAAAAACCAAGCATATGTATTACGGTTTTCGAAAAACAAATGCATGAGTGAATAGCCATATAAATTTGAAATTGGAATTCCTAACCAAAGAGGAGATATTTAAGATCAAAGTGGCCAGTGCGACAAAACGCTAATTTCATATGTAAGAACCTAATATATTTCAGTATTTAAATAAAATTTTGCTTATTCATAATATGTATAATGTTTTTAAATATACTCAATAAAAGTTTTATAATTAATTTTATAGTTAAATTTTATATTTAATATTTAACAAATACTGCAGTGGTTTTCCTTTCAAATGAAACCACTGAGTTTTTTGACGTTATTAGAACCAAATAATATGAGAAAACGTACGTAAATGTAAATTTCTCGACAACCCGAGAAATTAACCTCGAGAATTCTCGAGACCCGAGAAATTGAAAAGCTCGAGAAATCATGAACCCTAGTACTAGACAAGTGATATAAATATTTAAATATTTTTTTTTGTAAATACAAGCAATCATTATGAATGCAAATGTTCGCATCGTGCGAGAAATAGAACCCGCGATGATTGGAATTCAGGCGATGTGCTAAACCGCTAGACCACAGAAGCCATTGATAACACTATCGCTCCGAGTTATGTTAAAACAATGGGCATACATTACTTTAACGGTTTATCGAGGAAATATGGCAGTGTCTATATATATATGTTTTCAAACAGTAAGTAACATATAATACAACAATAGATTCGTTGGCTTCTCATACTAACACCGAATGGGATGTTCGTTTTATCCTATATTATTCCATTAAAAGACGTTGTACTAAATAATTATTAAAAATAAAAAGCCTAACCCACGACTTGTTTCACTTATCACCATATTTACCAGCATCATAGTAATATTTAACTTAATAATTTGAAGTATAATCACAAACCGCAAACAATTCTGGTTATAAAATAAGGGCGGCGTACGCGAGGGTAACCTTCCCCCTTCTTTGTTCGTCGGCGTTCAAGGTCATGTCCGTCCGATGTCGTTTTTATCTTGTACGGAAAATTCATTACTCTGAATAATTTCCACTACTGCTAAAAATAAAGTTGTATGATGTAATTACTTTGATAGTGGTAATAGCTTTTTGTTTTAAGTAACCTGGTAAGGTTACAATTACCCGATGGATCGTCTCAATAGGTAGATCGTGTGGCTTCTAAAATCTACCATATTGGGAGGATGACAGGATACGAGCGCTCCTATAGCAGCTTCGATTTTTCAAATTAAACGGAAGTTGTAGCGTAACACACACAACAAGAAATACAGTCTAATCATTGACAGTTATTTTGTAAGTCTTTAAAGTAGGAACAGCAAGTCTGTGATGCAGAATTCCTAATCTAGTACTTGTTAATTCTCAGTTAAACTCCCGTTAACTATTCATTCTTCACTGAGTGCTGTGTTTTATCTAGCATGGGTATGAACCTAGTTTAAAAATTCAAGTCGGGTTGGTATGTACGCTCATAATAAACGAAGTAACTTCATATTATTTTTTGAAAGGTTTTGACCTCGTCTACTGTATTAAAATTAGGTGTATAAATGGATGAATTTTAGAAACATCGTTACACACATATGCAGGTTATATTTTTTTAGATATATTATAGTAAGTTGAAATGAGGTATTGTGCTAAAACAGGTGCTTTGCATATGTATTAGTTATTTATTTACGGTTTATTTTATTTTATTTATTTACATAATGTTGCGAATGTAGATTTAAAATACAAGATATGTCAATGTCAATCTTCTGCTACATAAAACACCTTAACCACTAGATCAGCTATTGGATTTAACCTTTTTCATTCCACGTACGCCATTAAAATCAGGCCCAATATAAAGGTAAAAATACACAGGAATAATGTTAAGACACAATTTATTCTAGTATCTGATCCCAAAAAAAACTTTTTCATAAAAATTATAAATTCTGTTTAATTTAAAGGTGTTTGTTGTAATGCTGCTTTTTGGCTACTAAATTAGTAATATTTGAGCGTATATATTATAGTACGGCTGGCATTCATTTATTAATTTAAATGTGCATAGAAAAGGTGGTGGATTGTTATGTCGCGCATTGTCGCGGACTCCCATGAGTCCAAGGACCATAAATTAATAAACACTACAGTAGATAGGAGTAAGGAGGACCTAATAGGTAGCAACCCATTCTTACCGCACGCATACTTATTATGTGCAGTGTGCATTCTAATGTTTTTTAAAATAAAATACTGCCTGTTGTTCCTATATATTTCTGTAGGTGTGTGAAAATTCATAAATGTTTGAGAGTATCTATATTTAAACAAAATATATATGTAGTATTAATATTAGTTTACAATAAGATAAGGCTTTAGGTAGGTAGAGTTCCGAAAATCCCGGCATCTTTCCAACAAAACATATTTGGCAGTTACCGAAAGGCTTTTGTATGATTTTTCTGATCCTAAACTGGAATATATAGGTTCTGGTTAGGATTACACCCGTGGCCCCTTATCTTACAGGCGTCTACTGTCGTACTATAATCGCTTATCACCATAGCGGAAGCTGTTTTATACTCTGAATTACCACATTTGTTGTAATAAAATATATAAAACACCCAAAATTATCTATTTGTTTTCTATGAGGAAATTTATATTTGTATCTGTTATATTTATATAACTCAGATCAATAAATATAGCAAAATTGTTAGATTTCTTTTTAATTATTATTGCAAAATGTTATTCTATGTAAAGCCATCGTATAAAATTTTCCGTGGTGTGTGCAAGTCATGTATTACATTTGCATGACAGCCTCGGTGGTCTAGTGGTTTAGCACACCGCTTTACTATCCGATGGTTGTAGGTTCGATTCCTCGCACTGTACAAACATTTGTATTCATGAGTATGATTGTGTGTATCGGTCTGGGTGTTTTCTATGTATAATATGTATTTATTTACAAAAAAAAAGTATGCATGTATTTATATCAGTTGTCTAGTACCCATAACACAAGATCTGCTTAGCTTGGGACTAGATGGCGCTATGTGAATTGTCCTGAAATATTATTATTTACTACATTGACGAAAACACAATTAAAATCATTATTCCATAAATAAATATTTTGTCAATTACAGACTCTTATGATTTGTCAATAATGTTCGGTGTGCTTTCAAACTGAAAAGAACTGAAAGGAAACTCAGTTCGTATTCTTTTCAAATAACGTTGTATCATACATGTTTACAATAACACAGATTTATTTTTAAATTCACATTTTGAGAATAGCGTGACTTTTTATTTTGTCAAAACGACAGTTAACAAAGCCTATAACTACCCCATTTGATATAACAGTCATGACGTATGTTTTACTATTAACCAAAAATAGTTGATGCTTGTACCAGAAAACTTGTTCGTGTAGTATTACAATTAGGTTTTTATCAATAGTTAATTGCAAATGTAAGGTCACGCGTAAGGCTTAGGCGAAGGTCACTTATTAGGTTGCCTCAGCATATTTTGTTAACGTAATTCTACCAAGGGTTATCGTAAACAGTTTAGATGGCTACCTTAAGAAGATTATAATAAAATTATTCATTTAAAAGTTCACAGAAATTCATTATTCTATTTTAAGTTTTCCTGAAAAATTACATGTTTTCGCGATTTTCAAATGTTTTATCACATTCGTTTGTTACTATGTATTTAAATAGGTTCACTTAAAGGATGAATTGATGACGATTCTACGGGATACATAATATATAGTCTTTATCCCAAATACTATATCTACTAATATAAAATTTTATGACGATTAATATATTGTTAAATTTGCCATGTTATAATATTAGTATAATGTAATAGAAATACTATTACAGTAATACATATTAATATTAATTTATACCAAACTAACTTGAAGATTGGTTGTAACTTTATCCTCCTATTTTAAAATATTGTTCATTCAAAACCACATTTTAGCCTCAAATGCAACTTTTTCACATAATGATGAGGATAAATAATAATGTTTCAGCAAGTTCGAACAAATAATGTAATTCGCGATATGACGTTACCTATTCTATATGATTATATTATTTTAAATATGGGAAAGACAGGAAATCCAAACTATAGTAATCACTCAATTCTACGATCTACAGGTATCTATCAAAAAATTATTAATTAGATAATTTCTGTTTTAAAATTGTTGAAATATAGTTACCTTGAAATGAACAAATAAAAATTTATATTATTAATTATTTTACTAAATGTCTCAGGGAATAATATATATATACCTGTATCCGGAAATTTATTAAAGCATGGACTTGAATTGAAATCTACATTGAAAGACAGTGTTAGCATATGGTACTATCTCATATGAGTTAGTTGTTTTACCTTAGTTTATCATTTTTGTTCTGTATCATATTTTCTTTATTGGTATCGTTATTGTATTGTTACAGGATGCCTTCAGCAGCGCCACCCGCCGAAAATGGCGCGCCGCGCAGCGAGCTCGAGCAACTACAGATGCGCGCAGGACAAGTCACTGATGAGGTCGGCATTGGAGCTTTTACATATTCTTATAAATTTTTTTTTCAGATTATTATCCATAGTATTCGTTACAATTTGTTAAATCTAAAGTTAGTTAAAGCATAAATCCAACACTTATAATACACAATTTACAATGACGACATCGGCTCCTGAAACCCGTCCACTTCTCCGGCGCATGTTTATTTCTCTTTATATATTCTTTATTGCACTTCAATACATTATTTAGGTATGTTATTAGAACTAATGCTAACAAAGGAGGACTTATTTCTAAAAGAGATAATTCCTTCTCCTTCCAGTCAATCCTATACAGCGTGGCATAGGAAGTGTTGAGTTGTTCAAAATGTGCAAACGAGTCAAAAACACTTGCAAAAAATTAAAGTACATGGTTTGTATGATTGTTCAAGTCCTATCTCATAACTTAACATTGTTGTTAACAAGTTGACAATTTCATTTATTAATAACAATGCATGTTGAGGTGAAGCGAAGAATTCGAAGCCCTATCTGGTCGACTACTTATTACAGAAATGGTTTGCCAGGTTTTAGAGATAGAAAAAGTAAAAGCACTTAATTTCAAATCCATATATTCCTCAGGGGTTTCGTTATAAAAATGCTATTTTTAATTATTTCATTTGTATTGAAAATGTAAACGATCGCTAATTGACTAAATACAAAGAATAGAAAAAATAAATTTTAATTTCTTTGTCAGACGAGTTTTGAACCCGGATCACTCAGCATGCTAGACCGTGGGTAACCAATTACCTACAATAGACATATAATAATTTATATATATTTTAGTATTATTGTAATAAGCATATACTTATATATTAATATAAAAAACAGTATATGAGCCCTCGTAAATATAAATCTATATTTTATATTTAATTTGTACACTTATTATTTGCTAAAAATGAGTTAATTTTATTAACATTATACATTTTTAAAATTTCAGTCGTTGGAGTCTACGCGGCGCATGATGCAGCTATGTGAGGAGGTGGGTTATATAATCGTTTCTATCAGACATAATTATAATTGTTATTAATTGTAATTTTTATCAAAACTGTCAAGAAATATGGTAATACTAACAAAGTAAATATCACGAATAAAGTCAAATAATTATTGTATAGGTAGGTAGTAGTATATATTATATGTTAAATTAAGATAATTTTACAAAAACTTACTGTATTCCATGACAGTTTATTTATTATGAAAGTACCAGTAAAAAGAAAGACATTTTAAAAATGTAATATAAATTACTAGTTCGCCTTCATGGCAGAATTAATGTATGTCAAGAAATCGATATGAACAACGAAATTTTAAGAATAACCTAACTAAATTATATTTTTTTTGTAAATTTAAAAAATGTTTTTATATCGATTTCAACCAGAAATTTCTTGCAGAAAACCTAACTGAATACTGTGTTTATAAACTGATCTAATTGATTTTGCAAGCCAACGAGAATACTGGAAAGATTCCCCATATCTATTGCTAATTTTAGAAATGTTAGATCTGTGCGGACTGGTAGATGCGTTACAGTTGGAGTTAAAAGTTTCTTTCCCCTCATAGTTTATTTACGTTGAGTTGTTATGTTGGTTATATGATTATTTGTGACCATCTGTGAGAGAGGTGTTCTCGATGCGAGGGAGTGAGGGGTATAGCGGAAGTGTCCTGGACAGCCCCAAGCTCGGTTTGGTCTCCGACGCCCGTCCCACAGTACCCCCTAGGGCGCAGCCTCTGCTATCCCTGGCTGTTGTGTATCGATGTCGCTAAATATAATTATTTTTGTTGTTTATAATAACTGTGTATGTATCTACCTATTGTAGTTCTTCGGTTCCAACTTCCCATTTTATTTTAACTTCCTATAATTAATTTATGTTTTTATGTACTTAATTATTATAATATGTTACTATAACCATACATATGGGTGTTGCATGATCCGTGCCTTAATTGTGTCCGACAATGTTAGAGACCTCTATAGCCCTTTATGTTGTTCGTAGTATTGTACATTTTATGTGATTAAATTTAACTTTCTGAGCCCCGGCTCATGGAGTTGACAGTTAATTTATAAAGCAATTACGAAGATTTGAAACGTGATTACCGTACTTGGCCTCTATAATTAAGTGGATACATAATATTATCAAACAAACGAGTTAACCGTCAGCTCTCGATATATTCTGCCCAATTTGCTGTTTTTGGTTCCAAAGCATGAAGCCCATAATTGAGAATAGAGAACGATCCAAGTCCTATTATAGTTTGAAATACTTCTCGGATGTTAGTTGTCCTTTAGTTATGTAATTTGTCCCCTAATGTACGCTTTCCTGTCTGGTTGATCCATTGTGCTTGGGCCTGCTTTCGAAATGAAACCTTTGTACCTACTTGGACGGCAACTCGTACCACTTACTAGAACTTGGACTATCGAATACCGAATCCGCCCCCGAGGCTCAGTCACTACTCTTATACGCACCTTCTATTACTCTCTTACTTTTTTCCGATATCTATTCCTGTAACTCTTCATAAGCAACATAATTAATTATTCTATCAATAGTTTGATCCTTGCCTACTTCTCGGACTGGTTAAGTTTCTAACATCCTAACACTGACAACTGCTGAATGGTTGCAACACTTACTAAGATCAGTGTATGTTGATGTTCGTTCTATCCTGTTTTAGTTGACTCTGTATCTTAGGTTTCTGTGTAGTGGCTGCTCTCTGTTGTTGACTGTAAATCTATTATGTTGTATGATTTTCATGCCTTCTCGAACATTCACAATACTATCAATATGGGCGCGTACACACCCCCGTACCTGCCACTGAACTCCAACAAATATATCGAGATACACCATTTCTAACTCTCACACATATACAAACCAACGGAATATTATTTATAATTTATCAGTTACTAGTACATTATTATTACGAACATTGTGATTGTATTATTAAGTGTATAAATTTATTTTATTGCATATATATTATTTTAGTTTTTTTTATGTGTTATAAATTGTTTGCTTAATTGTATTATTGATATTTGTTTCGTTAATAATTACGGATATTTTACGTCAAGATTTGTGTGCGTACAATTATATAACACATGTAAACATAGATGGTATAATGTCGACACAAAAACAAACTGTCTCTACTCCATACCACACAGATTAGACATTAGGAGGTAATCTTCACATCACCAACTCTTGCAACATATCAATATATTAAAGCGGTAATGTGGAAGACGTCCTTTTGCCTGTACATAATTATATACCACATATGTATTCGAAATGTATTAAACTCAACACACGTAATACGTACTGTACATGAACAACGCTACGCGCAACTTCTACGTGCGTCCGACGCGACGCGACCGACAGCATCATGTCACGGATCGCAGTCGCGTCGCTCGTATGTCCACTCACTATCACTCCACTGTACCTCTCACAACTAACATTCTCTGTGACTTTTTGTTTCTGCGGCGTAGAGCAAGGAGGCCGGCATTCGTACTCTGGTCGCTCTAGACGACCAGGGAGGTGAGTGATCTGCAAAATTTGCAACACTACATTATTTACAATTTTATCTCTTTTAACTTTTTCGCTAATCTTATTGAAGCGTAGGGTTTTCAGCCGACCCGAAGACGGGCTCGTCGAAATAGAAGAGTTAAGGGGGTATCGCATTAAATTATTAATTTAAAATTTCATCACTGCTAACTCAATGCAAAGGTGCGGGCATCCTCGGAGACTTCTATCGTTTACAATTAATAACTCACACACGGATCTGATCATCATCTGGTCACGGAAAACCCACATCTTTGTATATTTTGTTCGTTATGTAGATTTTATACACCACTGCACTACTTAACAATGAGCTCTATCTCTTACTATATATCAGGCAAATCGAACGTTTCGACATATTATACAAACGAGAATATATATTCGGTTGGACTGATACTTATACATTCTGCATTCCAGATGTCGACTCTAAATTAACAACTACCTAAATCACATGAAACGAATATATGAACGAGCAAAGTAAATTCGAAACGCTTCTCCTCAACGCACGACTCTTAACATCACACAGAATAATCATGAATCATATGAAACTAAGCACAGATGAAACTGAATCTGGTTTTACTTGCAAGCTTCACTGCATGCATGTCGTTGTGGATCGAGTAGTGTGTGTTAGCGGCGAGCGGTCGCGGGCGGCGCGAGGCCGGCCCGCGCGCCGGGCCGCCCGCGCCGGCCGCGCCGCTCGCCCGCACGCGTGCCGCACGCCGCCCGCCGCCGCCACGCCCGTAGCGCGTCACGCGTCTCACGCCCGCCGCCGCCACGCCGCACCGCCGCACCGCACGCGCGCGCGCGACGTGCGTGCCGTATCCTTCCGGCGCACCGCACCCCCCCACCCACACACCCTGATACTCTCTCCTACGATATATTATTTTGATTTGTATTTTATGTATAGAGCGAGGACGCCGGGGGGCAAGCGCTTCATATGTTGAGTCACCAGGGCGGTAAGAGTTAAAACTGAACACTGGGTAGTCGAAACGTGAGAACGTCTGTGTTGAATGTGCAGTTAACTAAATATTAATCTCTTTGTTTTTCTTTGACGTTTCTCTTAAATAACGACTTATCTGAGATCGATGTTGCGTGTGTTTCTGTTTCGGTGGGGATGATTGAAGACCATAGTGTAAATAGAAAAGCCCGATGGCCGTTCGTTGCTGATTGTTGCAAAAGACTGTTACTCTATCTTTTGCTGAAGATTTAATTTGAATGAGCTGCGCAATCTGTTTAGTTCTTCCGTTGATATTGATCGGAACGCTTTTTAATAGGTATATTTATTTATCTTTCCAAATCTACTGTTCTCTTCTCGTAATGATGTGCGGTACTATATGAATGCGCGTTTACCGAGTGTATCTGTTGGACGTATAGATTAAATGGTATACGCCTTCATCTCCATGGCTAGCAGCGTACTGTTAATGTTAGCTCCGTAGGTCTGTAACTGTTAGCTCGATGCGATCTGTGTCTGTCTGCGGGGCCGCAGCTCCTCGCCACACTACATATTAGTTTGTTCATTTCTCTTCTTCAACTGATCAATACTTTGCTATATTCACGTTTCATTTAGGAATGGCTTTATGATTACGCTCATTTGCTAAGTTGATTTATTTTTTTCATAATCACCGGTCAGGTGGCCCGCCGGCTGCTCGGTCGCTCAGCCACTGGGCTAGCGGGCGGGGCCGGCGAGCCACCGCGGCCGCATTCATATATCGTTTACTTTATGTTTAGTTGTCAGTATGAGTTATGTTCGTTATGAGTAGTCCCGGCGGCGCCCGCTGCCTGCGCGAGCGCCGCCCCCGACGCTCACTGCATTCATTTGGCGAGCTATAGTGACATCGTTATTGTGTTGTAGAGTCACGAGGTGGGCATGAAAACCCTGGTCATGCTGGATGAACAGGGCGGTAAGCATCCAGTATAGTACCTACTATTTTGCATCACATTTTAGTAAAGCTTCTGTCTGAAATGCCAGTTCAGATAATTTATGAAAGTTCATTATAAAGGCAATGAAATTTATAAAATTCAATATCGATTGATATGTGCTAACAGTATATATATAATGGATAATAACCCCAAGGTAAAAACAGTTTATCATGACCATATTAAATAAAACTAGATAATAAATTGCATCAACCGATCTCTACAGTCCCGTATTCGCCCCTTCGTGAATTGGGACTTGGAGATAGCTAAGTTTAACTATTCTATCCTTTTTTTTAGTTTTTTTCTCACGCATCTAGCTATGCACGTCTATTTGAATATTGATGTTGATTGCATGGGTTTTAGTATTTATGAATTTTATATTGTATTTTATATTCTAAATGTTAGCCACTTAAGTATGATAATATCACTTAGTCTCAGCACATACATCATTTAATTCAAGGTAAAGATATATTTTATTATAGATTTTACCTGATCAAGTGTAAGACATTTAGATACAGACATTAAGACATGAATACCTTAATACACTCACCTAACTAGCTGCTTTAATTATATAGATATGAGATGTAATAGAATTGCTCTAAATACTGGTGTTCTTTAAAAATATGCATGACAGTTAATAGTTTCAAATAAATATGCATTCACTCCTACAAAAATGTCTTACACTTTGCTCGGGATTTTTGTCGAGAGCGTTGAGAATTTACAAACAAATAAATTAAAATCTAATTTTGCGCGATGGTTTCTTAAATAAAAGTAGGAGCTTGAACACAAAGTCGTGCTGTGTGACGCGAGATCAGCTCTAAAACATGAGTTTGGTGTGTGTGGACAGAACAATTGGACAGAATCGAGGAGGGTATGGACCAGATCAATGCCGATATGCGTGAAGCGGAGAAGAATCTTTCCGGGATGGAGAAATGCTGCGGCATCTGTGTTCTACCATGCAACAAGTATGTATCATAGTTGTATTACAGGCAGGATATTCTCGATTAATGAACACGACTCAATGTAATAATTATATACAGTCAATATTCGATTGACAACCATAGTGAAAACACCGTCGATATTGTCGAAAACACTCACTATAAAAAAAATTTCGCTCTTATTCTTACAAAAAGTTCTCAAATCTTTAACATGGAGATAAATATATTAAACGTATGCTAAAATTAATGAACGTAAGATTATCTATTAAAGCACCAAGAGGTCTTCAAATTTAGGTAGGAGGTTCTTCAAAATATCCCCTTTTTATTTTCAAGGGGCGCATCGTTCAAGGAAGACGACGGCACGTGGAAGGGCAACGATGACGGCAAAGTGGTGAACAACCAGCCGCAGCGGGTGATGGACGAGCGCAACGGCATAGGACCACAAGCTGGATACATAGGCAGGTCAGTAGTGATACCTAACAAATAGTCACTACCATATATACGTAGCTGACTCCCATTGAGATAAGAAATGCTGTGATTCATACGTACATCGTTTGGCCTTTTAGTCTAAGTCGATGTTTCCCAATTAGTGGTACGCGTACCCCCAGAGTGAGAGTGAGTGAGTGCAGAGGGCACTTTAAATTCACAGAATGAAATATAGTGCGGCTGTAGACCTACTCCTGCCTAACTGATACGACTTCGATCGATCGGAGGAGATAGATTGTGGTGAACAACAACTACTATTGACAATACCTCTGACTTCCCCATCTTGAATAACAATCATTATAAGTTTGTGTAAATTTACAACAACAAAAATATGTAGCTCCGCTCATTTGATGAGGCTGTTCGCAATTGTCACTTATTTATTTAAACTCGAACGCAATGGTGTTACAGAATAACAAATGACGCTCGCGAGGATGAGATGGAAGAGAACATGGGTCAAGTGAACACGATGATCGGCAACTTGCGCAACATGGCGCTTGACATGGGCTCCGAACTTGAGAACCAGAACCGGCAGATCGACCGCATCAACCGCAAGGTAACGTCGGAAAACGACGCACCCCATCCGATTCTATCGATAAGCGTGCACGCGATTTTCGAAACGATTCTTGATGTTGTGTGCTCTCAATTATTTTTCAAAGCAATCGTGTTTAAATTTTTTAATGATTTTCTTCTTTCTCCACGTGGTGTTTTTAATACTTCCAATATACTAGCCGGGGCCGTTTCTTATCTGGGAAATACATGAGATTCGAAATAACGTGATCTTCTATCATGGTATATTGAATCTCATGTATTTGGTCGATCAACAACGAAGTTATAAATCCGAAGTGTCGGTTTATAAAACAATATTTTGCAGACTTTTTACTCGTTTCAACCGAATTTAATATAACGTTTAATATAAAAATATTGCATTAACTGATCATGTATAATTTGAATATAAACTTACGGATTTGTAATTCGCAATTAGCCCGCAGGATTCTAAAGTATCCAACTTGTCTCCCTAATATTATCATTAATATATACTAGTTTCTACTGTTGTAATTTATTACATATTATGTACATCCAAAGTTGATTACTTTACCCACTTAGAAACATCACCTTGTTTGTTTGAAATAAGATGGAGTATAGTTGACACTTATTAATAGGAAAAATTAGCCGCAGAGCAGCCGGAGCGTGCATCGCTGGTTTTATTTTTACACTTCACTTTAAAATATGCTAAAAACGGCCCTGATGCTAGGATATTGTAATGTTACATTAATATTTAATTAAAATTTATTAAGGAATTCTAAGTGTAATCGCACTAATTAATATTTGATTAATTTATTAAAATTACATTGTTTACTTAATTGGTACATCTGTTTACAAAATTTTTTACTCAATAATTAATTCTTCGTTATATAATTCCCGTCGCTTGCACACTTAATGCCGTTTAATTCAAAACTATCTTATTCCAGATTTATTATCTTTTTCTAAAATCTCTCAATGTGAAGCTCTTTATAAAAAGAATTGTCATATTGTAAAATTTATACTATTCATATTATTAAATTTTACAATGTATATTTGACAAGTCATAATCCATTATCATTCGACCATCAAAATGTTGCCTGTTACCTTAGCTAATAAGTTAATAAAATCTATCGTTACATCGTTGATCTAACTTGTATGTCTCCCATTGATCCTGCTTATTGGCATTCAAAATTTATTCACTCGCTTATTCGGCATACTGTCACCTGGCTCTATCCTTATCACTCGAAGCATGAACTCTCATATCTCCTTCGTAGTGTATGCGGTTAGAATTGATTGGTTGTTGTGAAAATTTTTCCTCTATATGTCGTCTATGAAAATTCATAATATATGTCCACCGACAACTCCAGAACACATCTGTCCACACTGTCATTATGTTACCGATTGTTGACCAGCATCACATCCATTGGACTGACTAACATATCTCCTACTTAGACCTCATCAGTAACACTGTCATTCACTTCAAATTTATAACATAACATTTGTTTTCGTTTCAAATTACAGCGACTGTACTATACTAATACACTATCCACATTATTCAACATAATATACTATCAAATTAAGTGAAGCCCTATATGAAAGTTATACAGTCGCTGTGAATGAACCCGAAGCAAAAACGAAACACGTGTTCTCCTTAGGGCGAATCGAATGAAACGAGGATAACGCTGGCGAACCAGCGCGCGCACGAGCTCCTCAAGTAAACGTCGGCGGCACTCATAACAACAAACACAAAGACACACACACGCGCGGTCTCGTGGTCGCTGTCGGCTGTCGGCGCAGGCGCCGCCGGTTGCGGACACCAACTCACATTCTTAGATTGAATCTATAATGGAGGCTTTAGATCTTATAGCCAAATATGAAAAAAGACATTTTCAATTAATCAAAGTAACGAAAAAAATTCTCATATGTAACAAGTAAAAAAATCATATCTAACACAATCATAAATCAAGTATTAACCGTTATACATTAGAGAAATTGTTCCTTCTAAATAAATACCTTCCTATTAAAGTACTAGTAGAATTTTATAAATGTATAATTTAAACTAAATACTCGTTATGTTGTAAAGTTCTAAAGCACTTTTTTGATGGTTCTGCAACCGGCGATGAATAATATCTTACTCTTGAATATTTTGCTTAGTGTTTCTCCTATCCCGAGATACAATTACATTTATATAAATGTATGTAACCTTAAAATCTTAATGTATTCGATTCCTTAAGCGTACTGTATTAAGTGAACACTACCTTATCGAACTACCCTATCGTTTTCCTAAACTAACATCAAAAGCTCAAAATGATAAACTAGAAATATATATAACGTATGTTTATATGTTAATGTAAGAAAAATTACCTACCTGTCGTTATTAAATGTATCCTCTCATACATATAAAAATACGTTATGTATAAAGATTAAACTTAAAAATAGTGTTTTGGTGCTCATTTTATGCAGTAGGCTATTTGAAGTTGCAAAATTATTGAATAATCGCACTATGTAATTATGTCATTATCTTGATTATCTTAAATAACATTTTCTAGATGGTTAGATAATTAGTAATAAGAATACCCTCCTCGCTACTCCAATCGCAACGAGTTCTCCTGTCATATTTTGTGGATTTATTTTCATTTTATAGAAAATAAAACTTGACGGCGGATTTTTTTTGGAAAACATTTCAATTCATGAGGAACCACACAATTGTGTACATTGAAGTCGCTTTCTTAAGTTATCTACAAATTATCTTTGTATGCGATCTATTATTAGGTAATACCAATAATACATTAAAATGATTATTTGCATATGGACTCGTGAATCATCTATATCCATACTATAAATAAGTAAAATTGGTCATATGAAGAGAATTTTATAATAGCATGTGAAATCACACAAATTTTTAGGTGTTATTCTAATTTTATTTGTAATTCTATATACACGTTATAACTGTTAATGTTATGAATAAAAATAAATCAATAAATAAACACAAAATTTGTTAGTATTCGTGATGTATCGATTCGTCTAGCGTGGTGGGTTTATAAAACGGCCAGATCCATTATTTTGAGAAATTCATTTACTCCTTGTTAACGTGTAGTGTTACTGTTAATATTGCTAAAATAAAATGTTATGACAATGTTAATGCAAACATTTTAAAAATTGAATATTCAATGCATTTCTAAAATTCCAGTGATCGATTTTATGAAGCGATAGGTCGGTTAATGTTATATGTGATTGAGTCGAGGTAAGCAATAAACACACGTAATTATATATTTATAACGATTATATTAAGTATTGCAATCCATAAACTTGTTACGTTACATCCTAAATAAATCTCTATACGTTAAATAAATCTTTAATGAAGCTATTTATGATTATTTCGTGATACTTACTTTGTTATAGAGGAGGACGTTTAATTGAAGGGCGTTGATTTTTGGATGGATCGATAGGAATGAGTTGACATGTGATAATAGTTCGAAAGTAAGGATTAGTATTTAGCCATACACAAGTCTTCGTGGTAACTACTAAAAATCTAAATACGTTAGATCTCATATTTTATTTCTGATACTGTTGTCATAGGAGCATGTATGCATGCAGATTTTTATGGGGTGGTGTCAACACAGTGTCCAATCAATAGATAAGTTGCTCTGGATATTAAAATATGGCTTAAAAAGCGTATTAATTGATATGGCTATTATTATTTAATTTATAAAATCCATACTTATTTTCGATTACTTCATTCTATATTTCAAATCAAGTAATCGTTAATATCAATCAAATTATAAAATCATTCATGAAATAATATATAGCAGTTCTTGCACATATCCCTAATGGCATACATATCTGCTTCTATGGATATAGTATTCGCTAAGTAAATATTTATATCAAGTATTATAAATATAGCTTCTTAACTTAGCGATAAATATATTTAATTAAATATAAATTTAGAATTCTTATTTATTTTGAAAAAATAAACATTTTCATTTAAAATATTTATTTCATTGTTTTCCCGTATCATTATTTTTCAGTATAGGCGTAATATAAGTTACTTTTAATAATTATTATTGCAAAACTATTTAGATTCAATACACCGATTGAACGTATTGATATGAAATGATTGAAATTAAATATTAGTATCGTTAAAAAGACGACAATTTATATCGTTAGCGTAAGATTAATATAATCATATAATAGAACTATATTACTAAACTAAAGTAATAAATACTCCAATTATTTCTATGTATGGGATACGAAGTAATGATAACGTATGTTGCAACGCGACAAATTAAGGAGACTAAAATGACATTGTACTTTAAGTAATAACAAAATATGCAAATAAAAACACATTTCCTATTAAAGTGTTACAATTTAAAACAAATTTATATACAGTATGTCGTGAATAATTTAATACCAAACATGAGTAGGTATTACGGCGATTTATAATAGTTTTATTTTTATATTTATTTTAGCTATCTTTTTTAAAATCAACGATCTTTAATAAAACAAAAATCTACTTAAATTCTTGATGAAACATTTAAGTAACTCGTATGTTTAATTACCGGCTACGGAAAATCTATCTTTAGTCCAATAAAATAAATTTTAGATACTCGTGCAACTAGATAGTACTTACTACTTAATTAATTTTAGTAACATTTGTACCGTTCGTTTATATAGGACTATATAAGTTTGTAGTCCTGTGTTATTTGAGGTGAAACCGACGTATTTAAGACGGTTGATAAAAAAATGTAGTCCACGAGACTGATACACCTCAACACATACACACACACAACACGTCGGTGGTGACCGTGAGTATATTTTTTTATATCATCATTTTTAAATCAAGCACAGCTTGTATTATAAGCAAGCTAATGCACTCTGTAATAATGACATTAATAATTATTGTTAGGCTAAGCTTTAAGCCTAAAGTACATATATACAAAGTAAGTGCATAGGTTTATTAATTGAAAATTTAAATAATTCTAAACATTTTGTACGATTATTTTTGTCTATTAATATTGTTTTGTTTAATATACGGTTTCTTTCAATAACTTTTATATCGTATTTTTTTGAGTATATAAAATAAACAAATTGTGCTCTTTCATTTTTTTTTAGCAGGTCACAGGCTTATGTTTTTAATCTAATGTTTCATGGGATATTTGTGCCCTGAATACATTTTTTTACAAAATTACAGAAGTATTGTACATTTCAAACATATAATGTACGATACATCTGTAAAGTTATAAAATGTTTTTTTTTTCTAAAATTATAAAAGTTATTAAAACAAGAGCATGTGGTCTAAATTATTATATTTAACGAATATTTGTAATAGAAGAAATACTGGTATTTATATTCAAATTTATATTTTTACTACAACAATTTTTCTTTGTAACCAATATATTGCAATTGCTTTATTGTTATTCCTTTCTCTTTCTGTATAATATTTATTGAATCGTATTTCATCTTTTGTTAAGTTACTCTGTATATTTAAGATGCTTCGACATATTTTTTTTTTCTTCTACTATTAATGTGTTACTTCTAACAACAAGTACTGCAACAACAATAAAAGATAGCTTGGTCTGATCTATCCATATGCCGTCTGAAATGCATACATCAAATTTGCTAGCAAAATAGAAAATATCTTATTAAATTTTGCTTAATACAGGTGTTTTGATTATTTCCATCAAATAAATAATTTGTTACTCGACTGAATTCCACTTCTACTAAGCTTATTCAAGAATTTTATTTCAGAGATGCTAATAATTTCATTAATTCCAAATGAATAGCATACTTTAGATTTGTTATGCGAGTACCACAAACAATCTACCATTAACATAGTAACAACAATTTTCCCTATGACAATACTGGGTTTTAATGGTAGGTCGATTTGGAACTAACATATATAACCAACTGTTAATATTATATATCGTGTTATAGGGTGAAAGCAATGAGACACGTATAGCGGTCGCAAACCAACGGGCCAACAAACTCCTCAAATCCTAAGCGCAGACATAATCGGGCGATATTAAGTATATTAGCTAAGTATAATTTTACTTCTGCCTTCTTTTGCCAATGTAATCAATTGCTTGTGATCGCCTGCGGGGTGGAAGGCAGTGCGAGGAAAGGGGCCATATGTCGATGTCGAGTACTAAAAGCTCAAGAGATTAATATTTTTAATAGATATCTCAAGTGTACATGTACTTTACATGCCATTGTGTATACATATCTGTTCTCTAGTTGTATATACATATATATTTCGCTGGCAGAACACTAGAGAAAGGTGAAATGAAAACGAAATTACTAATAGATCTAGGATATAATGAAAAGAATGAGAATGAAATCAAGTCTCTCAGTAATTCCATTGCCAACAATGTGGTCACTAGTGATCTGTAGCACCTATTAACCTAATAACTTTTTTGTATATAAATATCTCTAAAATCACTTCCTATATATACATATAATACCTTTTAGTAGTTACTCTCTAACCAGATAGAAATACTCTTGGGCTTAAAGCATTTAGTACATGCGTGACAAGGAATTGAAAATGTTTGACAGTTGTAATTGTCGAAGAGTTTAATGATATTGAAGTTAAATTTGATGATGTAAATGTTTTAAGGCTGTGGTTGTTGTTTTAGCTTATTTGGATAAGGACTGATAATGTTCTCTGAACTAAGTCCAGTTATGCCACACCCCGCTGGCTAAAAATGTTATAAAAATTTGTCCAGTGTACGTCACTATTATTAACATTATATTCACTATTTAAATTTTTCATTCACTATAATTTCTTAGTGAAAAGTTGTTTAGTCTAAATTTTAATGAAATACATTGAATGTATTCCGTATAATTTGTATATATAATTATTGAAGGCAATAAATATCAAAATAGTAGTGACAGAATTTGTGCAATAGTTTTTGAATCAAATGAAGCTAATATTATGTTAATTGTAGTATAAATTATATGTGACGAATTAGATTTAGAGTTTACATATCCAAGATATTAATTTGTGCCTGACAAAGCATGAACAACAGTAGCTGAAGATTTAATATTTAAGGGTGAGTACAGTATAACGTTACTGCTGATGTATACATGAGGAATATGTTTATTACAACGTTTATTTTCATAATGAAATCATCTGAAAAAGAACTTATAGAAATCTTGTCTTCCCACGTGTTCGTTTAAATATAAAATGGGCATTAGCTTTACTATTTGGTCTGCTGCTTAATTCCTCATTAACAGTTTCAATTAAAACTGTACTTGCCCTTAGTTTATATTTCATTTATTTTCGACTTTATTTTGCCATAAATCTTACGTAATGCTTTATTTCGAAATCCGTTTTGACAGATAAATATCGCATATAAGTGCAAATCGTCACAATAATAATGTTTTGTGGCCATTTAAGTTTTAAGTGATGTGCCAAAATTCACAGTTCTATAAATAGTGATACTTTAATTTTTATCTCACTTAAATTGTTTAAATTGCACAGCACTACTCTTTTGATGCACTTGATTTTCTACGAGTTATAATAAAGTTATAGCTTTTGTAAAATATTTTGCACGTAAGTGTAAGGTATGGGTATCGAAAGAAATGTATTTACAGTTAAGCTGCAGTGATTTACTCACGCTCAACATTATATTAAATTGCATTTTTAACTAATTATAACCTTTAATCTATTATTATGTAATTGATTAATATACATACGAAATGCTACTTAATGTTTTCATTAAACTTTTAATGTGATTTAAAATTAGCGTGAATATTGAATGTCTGTTTATAATTTTAAATGTTTCCGTGACAACTTTACATTAGATATGTTACAGAAGAATTAATGTGTTTTAGATTAAGACGATGGTGCCTGCATTATTACTGTTTCATTGAATTATTTAGTGAATATAATATTCACGATGCATTTAATATTCATAAATTATAGATTATTTATCGCTTCTCAGTAGTTTCTTTATTACGGTCCATGTCGGCCAATTATGGTAAGGGACTGCACGCGGGCCGTGTATATAATTCGGCAATAAAACAATTGAAAAACTATAAATGTTATAGGCTTTAAAGCCGTGCGTTTAATACGCCATACGTTTCAATCTATATCTATATATGGTAGCGACAAATGTGATTTCAAAACATGCAATAGTCATTATTATAGTTGAATATTTAAAACTTTATTACTTAAAGTGTATTGTTGTAAGTATGATGAATAAAGAGTACCGGCCTTTAGGAGTAATGGAAGTAGGAATGTTAATGGCTTGACAAATTATTATATATTCGTGTACCAGATAGTTAGTAAGGGTTTTCGAAATTTCTCTATGTCTTTTCTCTCAATCGTATTAGTTAAGTAACATGTGCGCCGCTCGCGGTGATTTATCAAAATAAATATTTTTAATAATAAAATATTTTAACAATGTTGTCTTGTAACCGTATAGAGATTGTTTTATATAATGCTAATCAATTATCCAATAGTTGTGTATATTTACCGCCTGCATAATATGTATCTGTTTTTATTCAGCATAATATTAACTAATATTTAGGATACAATAATTATATCTATTTTCTTTAAGAATAGATTATAATATACGTAACGAATAGCATAAAATGTTAATTTCTAATTACATTATTGATTTGTTAAAGTACAAGTAGTATTATTTCATTATACCCTGCAGGGAGTGCCAAGTGGTAAACACTACCTTTTAGGACATCTCCCATAAAGCAATGTATACATGTAATAACAATGTGACTGATGGCCGTCTGTTGAAGATACATCGAAAAAACTGTTACTGGATTACTTTAACAACAACCCAAAATAATGATTCGTACAATTTTGTCTGTGCGTTTGTGAGCGCTAATCTCAAAAGCGGTTTAACCACTTTGGAATTTGTTTTCATTTATGCACTGTGCATGTAATGTACAGTGCATGCTTCATTTGAGATTTACGGAATAGGTATTCGACATAAAACAAGCTCACTTTTGTAAAACGCTTACAAAAAAGTGTTATCCCACGTCCCAAAGCTACAAGGCGGACTCGGTACTAAATCTAGATGGAAGGTAAGATGGATAAGAGAATCTGCGTCTTTTTTAAGAATCCCAGGTGTCAAAATGGACAAAGACATAGCGAGTCTTCCTACCTAGTTAGTCACTTTATATCTAGCTTGAAGTTCCGTATCCTATTAACTCACAAAACAAGATAATTTATATATATTTTCTATTATACATATAATAGATAATAAATACTCGTATAAGGATTATAAAACAAAATAAATCAACAATTCTGTAAGTTTAATTTCTTTTTATTAAAATATACACATTTTCATTTATTTTTTCAATCACACATAAATATAACCCTGGACATATCACATAGCACCACTAGCACTAAACAGAGCTTATGGTTCTAGAGGACTGAGACACTTATTAGGTCTTCGAACATTAAACTTTACATACGACTATTTTAAAAATTAAGATGACAACCTTTAATATCAAATAATATAAATTATAAGCACAAAAAATCATACAAAGATTAGTTGTAAGTCAGTGTATAGTATTCATAATTAATGCAGTAAACTTAATATTAATTTTTAATCTACTCGTTTCTTGTCAGACAAATCGCTCGGTCACGTGATTGATTTAGAGCTCGTAAATTTTTTAAATCTCCTTTTTGTTACATGGGCAAAAATGTATGAATATTAGCACTAGATTTACGCTTACCTTTAGAACTAATGTTGTACCATTATACTCTATATACAATATTATACAATTATTGAAACTAGTATTTATAATATCACACGAAATACTACAAAATTCATCATAATAATTCAGTCACACAGTAATACTGTCGCTTAAAAATTACTTATTCGTCTATTTTAAGAAATATATTCAATTTTCTTCGCATTTATTCGTAAAACTATTCATTTTTCAAATGATGTCGTTGTAGTAGATACTCTAAAATAATTATACAGAGAGTTCGAAGAATATATCTACATATATAGTTACCATGTTTAAAATAGAATATTCTAAATAATTTAATACAAATATGTGTATATTTATGAGATATAACTACAAACACATTCTATTTATGTTTAATATACATATACTAGACAAAAATTAGATTGCATAGGGTATGACTATTTTTATCATTATTTTTACGGGCTGCACGGAACATTAATAATTTTACTGCATTTAGGACTACAAGTACATTAGCTAATTTATCTTTCGAGTCCTTCATTATACGATTAAATAAATACCAACTAGTATATAAATCTTACTCCTATTTTATTGTCTATGATTACAGTAAGGTTAATCTATGAATATATACAATACCTACTTATTAAAATCCGGTCAAGGCTAGTACAACTCGTTATTTACGTATTTTCTGATTTCTTACTGTTATAAGATAAAAATTAAAAATCTAGATAAAATTAATGAAAGCTTGCCGTCTACATATCTAAAATCTATTTTCTTATTTATGTTTAATATCTACATGTTCTTAACCTAGAGACTAACATACTCTTATGATATAACGGCTATGTAATATGTATACCATGACGCCAATTTCGCTGACGCTAGTAACAATCTTGCGTTATCATTATGTATTATTTTTTGATAGCTTAATCTAACCATTTTTAGATCCCGAGCAGCTTACTTTGTAAAATTTGTTTCAGTTAAAGAGTAAGGCAGTGAAATCACAGAATAAGAAGCATCTTTGTCCTCCGAAATGGCAACGCATGTGTGGTATCACTGGATGGTAGTTACACAAGATGTTTGTTGTGCTATTCTTGGATATAAGCGACGATTGCCACTTCCCATCAGGTGGCCTATGAGCTTGACATTCCAAAAAACAAACAATCAAGCAATGCCCTTTCCAATCATAGTAATTAATCAACTTCTCAATTTCATCAAGTTTTTACAATTTTTCTAGCTTAATTAATTATAAATCTAAACACTGAGCTCTACTACAAGTCCGAGTATGACCATGATTGAGAAACCTAGAAGTGAACATGCAAACTGCATAAGATTCGTGTTGTTTCGACGCCATACCTCGAAGAATACCACGTACACTAGAGTTCCACATGCTATTCCCTGGAAAGAAAAAAATATATTAGAAAAGTAATTACCTATTGTACCTACCAAACGCATTAATATTAAAGAAAACTGATAAGATTTTATCAATTCAAATTGCAAAGGCATATGAAATAACCTTATACCTAATTACACTACATTAATCAAAGGATAAATGAATATTTTTACTATTTAGACTACAGGTAATATAAATATTCGATTTACCTTAGATAATTCGAACAGGTAAACGGTAAATATACCTAACATTAAGGGGCCAACACACGACCTTAAAACCATTCGACTTGGTGTAGGGTTTTATTTCAAGTTTATGATTTTTTACGCGACACAGTTTGAGCCTTTGCATTGTGTCCTTATGTACCTTAAGAGTTATAATAACAAGTACGTAATAATTGAATGAAATCAGCGGTGTCACACTGCACACATTCTTTTCCTATTCACCAGTATGAAGTGATCTAAAACAACTGGTGACATTAAAACATTTCCAGATTATCCCATGTGGAATGGATATATATATATTTATTCCATGTATTTTATGTATGTATTTACAATAAAAAAAATATCTATATCAGTTGTCTAGTGCCCATAACACAACTCTGCATAGCGTGGGAGTAGATGGCGCTGTGTAAATTGTCCAGGGATATTACTATTATTATATTTTTAATTCAATGCAATGATAATGAATAGATATATTGACAGAAACCGGTGAAGGATGAAAGGACGAAGATAATTTCAGGTCACTTAACCCATCGTGGGCAATTCGTTACGAATTATAAGCATAAGGGGGACTTGTGTGGATCCGTAACAGGACACAATGCTAACAAATGAGGGCAATACTTTTTACTATTAGGAGGACAAATTATTCACTCAACGGATTCAGTTTTGACGCAAAATTTGAATCCATATTTAATCTAATAAATGTTATAATTTGCCAAAAGAATAGGTATTATTGAAGTGGCTTCATTCTAATTCCATTATAATCTATTAATGGTCCATCATTATCAGAGTACATGTTAGTAGTTATACAGTTAGCGCAAACTTCAATATCCCATAAGTATTCAAAATATATACATTTTCCAATCAATCTGTTGTTATATATAACCTTAGATTGTTATTGCTTAATTGAAATACCTACGGTTATTTATTATAGACTGATAACATTGATGAAATAATTTCTCAGATAAAAAATATAATCTGAATATTACTTGTATTTTCAATCAAGCCTGCCTATATTTCATTGACCGATAAATAATATATGTAATTTAATGATACTAAATAAACCATTTGAATAGAAATTGTTCAAGAAATAGAAACCTACTTTATATCTATTAAAATGTTCGTAGGTACATACCTATTTAATATATAGAAAAATAAACTTTATGAAAAAATAAATGTTATATTGCTAACTTTCCAGTAATTGAAACACCAAGCAACAAACTAAGCTAACTCGTGAGACGGCGTAAGCTGTAAGCTGACTACCACAAAAAAATCTAGCAAAATGTGGGCATATCAAATGTTGCGTTGCGTTGACCTCGACGTCGATAGTTGACACTGCTTCTGGCTATGCCATTTGTGATAGCAGTCGTGAAAGTGTGTCATGTTATGTGTGTAATATTTATTTTGGGGTAAAGGGATTGTTAGTAATGTGGACTAATAACCCCATGCTAACAATGTCAGGTTGACCTCAACGTGATCCCAACGTAATAAATTCATGGTGATTTTACCACGGTGGGCTAACTGACCTCATGATCATCTTATAATCTTCCATTGGTGCCAGCGTAAACCATTAGCGCAGGTCGTAACACCATTCCATTATCAAACATAAGAAAAAAGATATATTCTCTATAATTATCTAAAATTATTCTCTATAAATCTCTCGTCTATAATTTAGGTTTAGATTGAGAACGCTCAAAATGATGAGGGGGGCATGTCTGGAACATATCTAAAGTCGTTGAAAGATACAGCTGTAAGTCGCGCAACATTGCTTGACGGTAGAATTGAGCCACCACTCGTCTTTAACTTTGAGGTAAAATGCGAATGATTATTTCTAATCGCTACTCAATCATTGAAATATGTACCGTGTATTGTTATTTTATAAGAGGAAGGCGCCAACCGTCTCTAACCGGTATGTATAAAATAATTGATTAAAATGGCGGAAACAAGAGTAGTTTTCTTTTGCACTCGGTTTTCTGTTTTTACTGTACTTTATTTATTGTACTACCACTATTACCACATCGAATTACCAAAAGATCGTCAATTAACGTAAAAATAAATTTTATATATGATTAACTCTCCGAAGAAATAAACACTAATAACAAACTAAAAGGATACGTGGGCATGTCTAGCTTTCAGCAGCCATGTCTATAGTTGACTAACTTATTTGGGATAATGTCGTGAAGGTAACTTTTTTTATATGAACTCACACGACTCACCTGATGGTAAATGATTACCGCCGCCCATGAGCAATTGCATCAACAGGGTAATTGCAAGTGCGTTGTCGCCCTTTTAAGATGGAATAAGTTCATTTACTATATGGTATTGATTCGGAAGTACCATTGCTGAAAGGTGATTCCACAATGCGGTAAAAGTATGCTGTTTGTATTTTTTTACAATTTGATACTATGAAATTATTCCGTAAGGGACTCACGAAAAAGATTTCAAACCAAAATGTGTTCGAGAAAATGCTTACCTGCAATACTACAGAATAAAGACCAGCATAGGCCGCTCCAGCGCCGCCCACCATCAGTATTCCAATTCCAATACCCAGTGCGGACATGAAGGAAAATGTGAAAATGTACACTAGTTGCAACCACTTCTTCTGACCTGCTGCCAACAGCTCCACCCCTATGCAGAACGCTATTATGTACTTGTGAGCCGACACCGCACCAAACATGTACCTGCACAACATAAAATACAGTTAAGAAACTCCTTTTTATTATAATTAAATATTTTAAAATAATAGGTATCTCTATGTATGAACATGTACATATGAATAAGTACGTATGTTAAATTATGTATATTTATTTAATTATTAATATATCAATATTATATAACTTTTATTTAATTAACTATACCTATATAAAATACATATAAAACACCCAGATTAATATAATCAATCATATTGAGTAATACAAATGTTTGTATTGTGCGAGGAATCGGAAGTAAAGCGGTGTGCTAAACTGCTTGACCATCGAGATCGTTACTTAAGAAATCGTGCACCAAACCACTATAATCTATTATAAAAAAAAACTCACGTGTTGATATGTATACACTGTAGAAACTCAGGAATATGAGAAATATGTCACGCCTTCGTACCGTGTAATTTAACTTCCATATCTTACCAAAAACTTACAAAGCCAATTGTTTGGCTGCTGAAATAGCTGAACAACAAGAACGCAGACGACTCAGTACAAAAACTATCATGGTTCTAGTGTCATACTAAAATTATTATGGCAATATGCAGAATTTGCTAATATAAGTATGACATAAGGCACAATAATTAAAACATTAGAATTTAAACATTATAAACGTAGGTTAACGTTTGGGTAATTAATAAACGCAAATAAAACGCCTATATACATAATTTACATATAATATCAAATTTAAATTAGAAGCAATTAATAAGAAACTAGTAACTAAATTAGTTACTAGTTTCTTATAAATTGTATTTAAAACTGTAACACTTTAAACCATGCTATTTTGTTGCTAGATACGAACAAGTTTTAGAGATTCATAACAATAATAATAATAACCCTGGACAATTCACACAGCGCCATCTAGTAGCATTGTTTCCAGAGCCTGTGTTATGGATAGTTCTAGATAACTGCTATAAATACTTAATTACACGTTGCAAATAATACATAAACTAAACACCCAGACCAATACAAACAATCATACTGTTGAATACAAATGTTTGCATCGTGCGACGAATCGAACATGCAACTATTAGAAGGAAATCTAAATCGCTAATTTCTTTACTTGCCACACATTTACGACTGACGCCTCGAGCCCTACAGCAAGACCCTCGAACAGCTCGTGGATGGAAAGTGCCAGAACTATCAGAAGACCTCTCAACGCAGCCGTCACAGAATCTTCCGAGGTGGTCATTATATGACTATGACCGTGACCATTCTGAGCCTTAACCTCCTGATCTTTAGCTGGTTCCTCACAAGAAACGTCTTCGAAGTCCTTTCTGAGAGCAAAAGTCCTTGATACATCACTGTCGATAACTTTCTTTTGCCTACTTTGAATGTACAAATGCACTAGTTCCTCTATTAAGTACATCATGAAGAAGCCAGCACACATTATAAGGCCAGCTAAGTATATCGGCATATCAGGAATCTGTCCTTCCTCTGCAAAAAATAATATTATGTATATTAATTATAGATACAAATATTTAGTACCTACGTAAGTACCTATACTTAGCTGTGACATTAAATTTCATAATCAAAGATATATAGATAAACAGAATGTAAGTGTGAAAATATACCTAGATTAATATTTTTTGCATAAGTCAGCCAGGAATACTAAATATATAATAAAAAGCTATAATTATTTTATTTAAGACTAGTTGCACCTTGTCTGTGTGCTGTGGAATTTAAGTTTATTTTTTAAATAAATGTAGCCTAAGTTACAGATGCCAAAAAAAAGTCCCCTTCAAAATCGGTCCAGCCATTTCAGAAATTAGCCGGAACAAACAGACAGACAAAAATGGTAAACTATGCTATTTTGTTGTTTAATACCGTAATTATATTCATATATGTATGTACCTATGTATGGATTTTTATTTCAATATGTAGGTATTATTGTGAGTCGTGAAATTGGCTACAAACGAATTTCAGTTTTAGTGTTATCAACATTCGTTTAACGAATCAACCTTTTGACCACTTCATTAAGTATATGTTTTGATATGGCCAATATCACATTATAATATACCTACCTAATCAAATTAGAATGTCTTTATTTATGCAGCACCCTAAAATAGACACTTATTATTATAAGTCAAATCTAACAGCAGTTTGGAATGTTCCTAGTTCGTCCTGAAAAAAACTGACAAGAAAATCTACATACTTTAGCCAATTGCGATTGGATATCGTCATTATAGTACCTATTATTAAATGAGCGATCCATAAACACATATAGGTAAATATAACCCAAACTTTTAAACCCCTATTTATGAAAATGTCAAGTGGCTAATAAACCTCTTTTTTAGCTTCTTCTTGTCCTTTTTATTCAAACACTAACGACCCGTCCCGTCTTCGAACATGTGGACAAATTTCATACCTTGGGTTACATTGGTAAGGTTAGTAGGATCTCTATTTTTTCTACTATTATCTTACTTAGCGATAATATAGCATTACAATGGTGAAAGAATTTTTAAAATCGATTCAGTACTTTTGAATTCAAATGTTACACATAATATCTACAAATCTATCCTCTTTCTATATTATTGAAGATTTCTTCGTTTAAAAAATATTTAGTATACAAAATATGTAGCCGGTTTTAGTTTGGTTGCAAGAGTTCGCATTATATAGCCCACGGAAGTAAGACGAAAGTAAATAAAAAATCTAAATTCTAAATCCTTCTTTTCTTATTCCTGATGGGACTAGGCAGCAAGTTTAAAAAAGGGCAAGTAGGTACAATAGATATTTGCTATTCACAGTGCTACAGTTTCTGGATTGGAGCTTAAAAGTAATTTTTAATTATGTTCAGGAGGATATCCCCTTAATAATATTTAAAAAATGTCCACGTCTTCTTGGTAACAAAGAGTGCCTACCAAAATATTGTCGCGTGGGGAACAGCTAATTTTCAATAAAAATCAGGTCTGAATAAAAAACATTGATAAGGATACTCTATCTATTGTCGTAATAATATGATTCGATTTGGATCATATATTCATACTCATACGGTAACAACAATATGTCGTAAAGATAAGATAGGTAGGTATGTACGCCTAATTATTCCAATATTATACTTAAGTATTGTATAAACATAGATCCAATATAGTAATTGATTGTGTGGCAATCGATTGTATCTAAATACGGACAATACATAGTTAAATATACTCGTACAATTGAATACACCGAAGGCTTAAAAAAGCATTTCATATATTTGTTGTTTTGCCATATATATTAAAATGACTATTATAAAATAGGAGTTGGTGATAGAAGCGCGAAAAGTATATACAACCCTATATTTTTTTTTGTATTTTTTAATTCCACTATCATAATTATACTTAGGGGTATGAAAAATAGTACCCGATTCACAGACCTACTGAATATGCATATAAAAATTCTTAAAAATCGGTCAAGCCGTTTCGGAGGACTATGTACATTTATATATAACATTCTGACACGAGAATTTTATATATAACATATAGATACGTATTTCCGTTCGTACAACTCGACTTAAAATGCGTTTACGCATTTTATTTCTGAGTCGAGTTGTCCTAATATCTCTCTATTATAATGAATGACTAACTTGCATTCTATGGATTCACCATGGGGTGCCGGTCCATCGTGTGGCAGACAGAAAAACAACTATCTACCTAAACTTACTTTAGTTTCACTACTTTGCAAAAAAGTTGTAGGCCTGTAACAACAGAGGCCCGATGGCGTCTAAGAAATGATGTCGATTATGTAAAACAATGTTTACAAAAGCATTTCTTCTTGTAATAGGACTTATCATTTTTCCAATGACAATAACTTTAGTATAAGTACAAGAATATTAGAGTAGGTATCACGGTCAAGTCGTTTACAGTGCTTACTTACTTGTTATAAAGTACCCTTCAAGGAAGATATTGAATCCGGCGACACCAGGACACCTTGCGCCAATTTTAATTTGTAACCAGGTATAATTCTCCAATTAGAAGAGACATCGGCAACAAACCAAACCGAATCGAGAATGAGACAATAGTTTATTACCACTTGCTACGTTCATTAAATAAATATTCTTAATTTAGAGACAATGTGAGCAAGGGTGGATTTATCCCTAGAAGATATCTCTTCCAGTCAACTTAAAATAGTGGCATAGATAAACACTACTAAATAACAAATTGTATAATCCAATACAAAAGTAAGATACATAAATATTACTTTTGTATTAGATTATATTTATTATATATTAGATATATAACTGCGACTTGGTTTTCCCTTCATCTTTTCTTTAATACCTAATATTGTTTAGATATGAGTTCTCGTGCCGTATTAACTGTCTCAACATTTTCCCTTGGCACGTTAGTTTCAAATATTCCTTGTCATTTCAATGTCAAATATTGCTGTCAGTAGTTAAGCAACAACTAACATTAACCACATAAAGCTGACAAAGCTGACAATATAATTGGCGCATGAGAATTACAGTCGTAAGAATAAATTCGAACTGCTATCAAAATTTTATTTTTTATCAATAAATTTTTAGAACTATCCCGACATATTTTAACCTTGTGTGTGCGATAATATTTTAATATTTATTTATAGAATACAGACCTTATTATGTTTGACTAATTAGGTACATTGTAATAATTTGACTTACCAATATTATCATTAAGTCGATAACGATTGACGTAGGTATACACCTAAACAAAGACTATAGTGAAATAGTTCTACAAAATCATATCGTACACAATGTTTTCTGTTTTGCAAGTAAGCAATAGTGGATAGTACTCCCGCCTGTACTGACGGTATACTCTGGCGAGACATCAGTTGAAAACGATAATGATGGGATGAAGCCAGGTCAGCTAGCCAATCGCGCAAATTCACCAAAAATTTATTACGATGGTTTTCAGGGGAAACGCAACCTGAATTGATAGAAGCACAGATAAGATAATATTACATAAGATTAGTTAGCAGTGGCAGTCATTAGTCCACATTACTAACAATCCTCTTCCCCTCGGCCTATATTCCAAAACTGAACAACATTTCAAAGAATCAAAGAAAGAGATTACATAATGAAGACGGATATAAGCTATACGTGTATCAAGACAAAGTTAAACAAAATCTCTGGCATCAGTTTATATTATTGTTATGTTATATACTTACATATTGCAAAATTTAAAAAAATGAACTATACAAAAACAGTGCTGGATTAATCTAGCACGCGGTCAGTAGCAAGTTGTTTCTAGAGGCCCATCCGTTTCACTTGATTTATCCATTGTACAAATTAAAAAATACATCACGATTAAAAATATATTTGTTGGCTCTTCAGAAAGGTTAAACTGGTGCTGCAAATATATGTAGTTATTAAATGTATTATGTATTAAATATGTTTCATATAGTTATTGCAAGTACCTACTCAAACCGATTATAACAAGTGTTCACGTTTACATATATATATTTACATTATTATATAGATAGATAAACTAATGGGAAAATTGTCACTTAAATAGTAAGTAATGTGCAAATAACTCGCGAGGCTGGCGTATTTACCTTGGCGCAAATCATCACAATATTTATCTACTTCTACCTGCAACAGAGCATGATACATGTCTATATATAAATCCTCTAAATATCTATGTATGTATCCTACATAGGAAGCAGATATGGTTATAGACCATCTCCCGCTTTATATTTATTAAATTTGTTAACGCTTGTTTCTTAACTTGAGTTAGTCAGAAATTCTATCTTAAGTTTAACAACATTTGTTCCTCATCAATTTTAATCATTATTAAATCTATTTCTATTATGATATTTAAAACGGAAAAAAGTAGATTCCTACGATGTGACGTATAAAATTGTTTAATCAGAAGCATTTTCAATTTTCGACATTGTTATATCCATACTAGATATTTACTATGATCAGTACATCAAAATCTAACGTGATAGCCAGGCTCTCTCGAGAGTCATTAAAATATACTTATAAATTGACACGCAGTTTTCTAGTGTCATTTGAAATTTCTGTTTAAATTTTACTACTTCAGTATAATATTAGGTAACGATAGAGACTAGTAAAGTTTCTCTAAGAAATTCAATCCAGAAAAGATATATGACGGAAACGATTACTGATTGAATATAATTCAGCAGTTCTGCGGATGTCAAACAAGGGGGTTTTGTTACACAAATTTGTTAAGAAAGTAAATAGGTTGGCTGGTAACGAATGCTAATATACGTGCCTATTGTACAAAATTACAATAGAGTTTAAATAAATAAATATACATGATAACTAAATAGGTATCTAGGTATTTGGTATAAAAATGTTCCATAATTCGCCTATATTGTGCTACTTACTACGTTATGATGACGTAAACATGCAGAATTTATTATAATAGGCTTTACATACAGGGATTACAATGTTATACATTTTTATTTATTTTATGTGAGCTCTTATATAATAAATGAAAACATAATAGAATGCAATACAACCTACATTACATAAATAAATAACAATTGTAAAGCTAAATAAATACATACTAATGCTTACTATTCATACATTGTAATTATCTCATATCAATAATGTAAATCTTATGAGAAATAAATATCTTAAACAATATATGTACATTACTCGTACACTTTCATGTGTAGATATAGGCACCGATTTTATGCCTACATAATGGTATATGGATAGCTATATATATAAGGATTCACAATATCAGAGAGGTATCAAATTAAAAATTACCCTTGCCATTTTGGATTTAAATATAGATACCTAACCAAATGTGTGCATGCAAATGTTGTGTTCACTACAATACAGACACTTTTCAGTGTCTCCGACTAAGCCCCCCCCCCTCCCCCTTTTTTAATAGTCGTGGCGTTATATTTATTACACTTATATTATACAAGATTTCAGCATCACTGAGTTAACAAATCTGTTCCATTCTCCGGACATAGATATCTGACGCATGAGATAGTATAAGATTTTATTTTGGTACATCAAGATAATCAAAATTATTTTAGTTGCATAATATCGCCAATAGAATTCAAGCAATTGATCTCATTGATAAGCAATATGTTCTCGATTGTTATCAGTGAGATGATTCATTTGTTAAAATTGCTAAATTTAACGTGACCATATCTTTTGTCAAAAAAATAAAAAACGTGGAAACAAGAAACTTTTAAGAAGGATATATTAAAGTTTCTTAAGGGTCGACAACGCACACGTGATACCCCTGGTGTGTCAGGCGTTCATAGGCTACAGTATCCATTCACCACCGTAGTATAAAAAAAAAACAATATTTGTTTCCCTTCCCCATGCGATCTACTCTTGGGTTTCTATACATATGTGTTCAGTAGGTCTGAGAATTGGTTACTATCTATTTTTCATATCCCTAAGTAATAAAGATTGTCCAATATTTTATATGGGCACAACGGACAGGACAATAAGTGAGTCATAGTCTGGGATGGCGCTCCGCTGTCGCAAGCCTCCCTTGAAGCGACGCCTCATTGAACCAAGTTGTACCTGCAGCGGCCCATCTGGGTTCGCAGTCTGTTAAGCGATTTCTTAGTGGGCCATTGGACGTCGCTACATGTTGTTCGGGTAATGAAATAAAGTCTAAAGGAGCAGGATGGTTTGACTTCCATAGCGGCGGCCAAACGGACCGCTTAAATAAGCGGACCAACATCCTGCATAAAGGAAGATCTAAAAAATGCGACATAATGCGTAAAAGTCGCCTCAACATTCTGGGGAAAGTACATTTAGTTGCCATTGAAACGAAAGAAGAAGAAAACCCCTAAAATTTTATTTTATTTTATGGACAATTTATTTTATAATCTGCCATTAAAAAATACATGCAACCATACATTTCCATGCTTCTATCACCAACCCCTATTTTTTAATAAATATTTAATTTATATGCAGAATAACGTTTGCGGGGTCAGCTAGATTATATATTTTTCTACTTTATATTCTAGAATGCGATGTGTTCGTAAATGTTGGACGAACTTCGATGATTTTTTTACTTTTAGAAGATATAAGTAATATGTATGATGTATTTTTTCAATTACATTTTACCCGCGTATTCATAAAAATTGAAACGTCTTACAAGCAATCAAAGCAAAGAGCATAATGAGTTTCATTGTGCTCCATCATATGAGATAAACAGCTTGTAAGAAAACGATATAAGTTGAAGACCTATAATAAGTACTTAATAAATGTTATATTATCCTATTATCAGTAGCCTAATTGTTATCCAACACTTATTTTTTTTTTACAAATAGCCAATGTGCGTCTTCGCGAGACAATACCTTCACGTCAAATTTAATTAAGATTCCCATTTAGCCGTAAATATGGACCTAAGAGACACTTTGGCATTTAAAATATTACTATGCATACGTTTGACTTTTTATGAACAAGAGGGTAAGTTTTAGATAACAGAATTGTGAACGAACTCTCACCTTGCAGTAATTCAATGTTTTCATCGACTTCCGGTAACAAATGCATAAACGTAGTAGAGAACAGCACACCTCCGCCAAAAGCCAACAGTCCCATCACTAATTGGTTAGACGCCCGAAGGTTTGGGTCGCTACTTTTCGTGAACCAGTCAAATTTGAAGGATATGAGTAGGGGCAAACAGCCTGTTAACATTGAAATGCTAAATAAGCAAACCATAGTAATTACTTTAGCTGTCAGTGCATCTTCGTAGTTGTCCATTGCTACTGTTAAATTCATTGTTAATATTTGATCAAATCTGATGTTTGTTGTATATGACACGATTGAGTTGCACGTGTGTGTATGCGCCCGCGCAACGCATGTAACCTCGCTAGATGATCTCGGACGACTGAGCTTCCTCCGTCCCTGGTGTAGTAGGCGGACATGATAACGACTCATTATTAATGATAAAACGACAAGCAGTTTATACACTGTTGCGTCAGTGTAGAATTACAGCTCAATTGATATATAAGTATTCGCATAAAACGATGTCAAAAAAATATGAAAAAATGAAATTTTCAAATTTTTTTATTAGTGTATATTATACATTTTACCTAAATTAAATAGTTACAACATTCCATACATGGCATACGCATATAGCCAATTGTTACATAAATATGTAGAGATGTTAGCGTTGAAGCAGCATTTAACATATAGGAAATTTAGTAACTACCCACTCAGGAAAATAAACAGAAATATTATGGTATTATGACGCCGCGCCGATGGTGGTCTAGTAGTTTAGCATACCACATTACTTCCGATGGTCGCGGTCGCGGGTTTGATTCCTCTCACGATACAAAAAAATGCATTCATGCGTATAATTGTTTATGTGGGTGTGGGTGTTTTCTGTGTATATTATGTATGTATTTACCAGAAAATTGTATTTGTATCAATTGCTTAGTACCTACCCATAACACTAAGTCTGCCTAGCTTAGGACTAGACGGCGCTGACTGAATTGTCAAATGTTATTATAATTGATTTGTATTATATTTATATTCTATACGACTTTAACGTCTTCTGTCGAAGTATAAAACAGAATAGAGTTAAAATTGAACTACTTTAACGTATTTTTTTACACTACGATAGGTTTGGCCCCACGTTTTCGGTACATATATTCCGCTTTCAACAAATATAACTGGTTTCATCTGCTTTAGTATCGGTAAAATCTTATTGTATGAATAGTAATTAAAGTGGATGTCGCAATTGTAAATTAACATAGTGATTACTTGCTCAGTAAATAATTTGAAACTAATAATTTAATATTTAATTTAAAATATAATTTGAAACTGAATGCAACTGACTTTAATGATAAATACGATATGCTGAAGGTTTACTATGAGTAAAATGTTACTTTATTAGTTCTGTTATAGAAAAATATTTTATTTTATTGCTGCATCTTTAAAACTATTTCTAAAGCACATCGTAAATAATCGTTTGTTACAAAAAGTTAAATGTTTTACGTGTGTACGCGTCAGTTATTGGATTAGAGTCACTGCTGTCAATCAACATCAGTCAGATTGATAATAGAATATGTTATTATTTACAATTCTTATAGAAATAGTTTTAATATGTAGGAACAAAAAATATTTTTCATTAATAAAACCAATAAAGTTATATATTATTGAATAAATAACTAGTAAATCCAGTTATATTAATCACATTGTACTAAAAACACTCCCAGCTCGAAATATATTTAATATAACCTCTGTCTCTTGTTATTTAAAAGTAATAAAATTAGCCTACTTTGCAAATTTTAAAATATATAATATACCTATATAAATTGTAAGATAAACTGTACAGCAAATTCTAGAGAATGTCAATTGGTTGTTAGTAAATAAAAGTACCAATAGTGAAAATGAAAAGGAAGTATATAAACTTTTTACTAATATTTATTGCAACTCTAGTCACATGGATATGGTGGAGTTCTAATAACGAAGTCAACAACACAATACTATTTTTAAAACAAAATAATTATTACATTAAAGACACACTAATTTCACCATCATCTGAGGCTTGCATAGGTAAACTTAAATTTCTCTAACAATTAATACAATTTGTATACATACATTTAATAGAGCAATTCAGAGAATAGCAGAATCAGATTATATATATATATATATATATATATATATATATATAGCTAATTGTAAAAATATTACACCTATATAAGTAAACATAGTAAATAAACTGGCTTTTGTTTTTAAATAAGAAATTCAATTGTGTTTCTTGCCAGTTCTTAATTGAATCAGTGTATGTACTGAACTGGATGGTAGGGAAAAAATTATAATACAAAAAAAATTACATTCATAAGCAGCTAAAATGTCCTATGTGAATAAATTCTCTTTTAATTTGAATTACACAGCTTACATACTGTAATATTAATGGAAGCAGTTTTATATTAACCCTATATACTTGTGTATTCAACTAATATATGCCATTTAGCATAACTTTCCAAGCTATCAAAATAAATTTACTTGACATGCAAACTTTTATATACAAAATTAATTATTATGTACTCCTACATTCTTTACAGAAAAACAGTTTCTTGTAATAATAGTAACATCATATGTTGGTCATGTGGAATTAAGAAGCATACACAGAAGAGCAATGCCATCAAGTCTTCTGAAGTCAATGAATATAACTAGAATATTCTTATTAGCCAAAATACCTCCAAATGAAAGGTACTATAAAAAAGGTTATAAACAACCTTTTGTTTGTAATTTTTCTAGAATGTAAAGTTGAAAAATTCATTTAGACAGATGTGATCTTGATTAAAATATAGAAAGATTTTAGCAATGTGATCTTGATTAGATTATAGAAAATATTCCCACAATACATATAATTTATGTTTCCAGATATATAACTCAAGAGGCCATTAAAGACGAAAGTAGAATATTTGATGACATTCTACAGGGGTCATTCCAAGAAAATTATAGGAACTTGACATATAAACATCTCATGGGATTGCAATGGGCATCAACTGTTTGCATACCATCATACATACTTAAAGTGGATGATGACATAGTATACAACTTGGAGAGTACCCACAAATTACTACTAGAGATAAATAAATCAAATGACAACCTACTCATGGGTTACATGTTGAATAATACAAAGCCTAGGAGAAATAAACAAAATAAATGGTATGTTACTTGGGAGGAATATCCTAGAAATGAATATCCACCATATTTATCTGGTTGGTATTACATCACAACATCTAAAATAGCAGCAAGAATATGTGAAGAGGCCATTTACCATCCATATTTCTGGATAGATGATATATTTGTCACTGGGATAGTACCAGAAGTCCTTGATATTAAACTCAAACAATTGCCAAAAGACTATTGGCTAGAATATTATGAATTACTTGAATGCTGTTTAACAGATATGGTAATGAAATCAATTCAATGCCATTATGTAGTAGGTCCAAACGGTGGCAGGGATAGTTTATTGTTAGAGTTCAATGAAGCCCTAAGAAATTGTGATAATTGGAAGAACTGTACACAAAGGACTTCTGAAAAGTCTTTAAAGGATGTTTGTGTAGTGAATAAGGAACGTAATATCTTTAGTAAAGGGAATGCTGAGGTTCATTTTGTTAGCTTGTAAATTCTACTATAAGTTTCTGACATGACTGACTAACAGGCAGCTAAAACTGTTAGCCTAAAAGGTTAAACCTGTATGAGACTGATGAGTATTGACATGAAATTTTGTACAGAATTTCCTTATATATCATATATATATATATATATATATATATATTAATTCCCATAACAAAACTGTGATAACAATCAGATTATATTATGTAATGTAAACAATTAAAAATAATATAACATAAGTAGTAATGATTTATTATTTTCACAAAGAAATGTAACTGAAACATGTTATATGGCACAAAAATTATAAAATATTTCAATAGTAAATTAATAATACAGACCAACTACTAATACAACAATGGTCATCCATAAATCAACATCAAAACTTCATTCTAAATTCAGTAGTCATAATTACATTACATTAAATTACACTAAAACATAAAATTGATCAGTCAGATATTGAGCACTTTCTAACATATTTTTAATAAGCACTTACAAATAAGAATTGACCTATTAAATTGTGAATTAAACTAAATAGATATGTATCAAGACTTTAACCACATGTTTGTGACAGAGCTGCCATTTACAACACAGTCTCTAAATCCCTTCATAACATATGACGATTGATACCATTTTATTTTGTCTGTGGATTCAATTTCATTAAAATCATTAGTTTCATCATTATCTTTTTTGGCATTATCATATAAATTATTACCAATATCACCAAATATTTGAAACTGATTACAACAGGATAAATTTTTAGCATTCTGAGTTCTGAAGTCTATAAGAACAATTCTAGAACTCCTCGGTATTCTATGTCCATCTACAGGGACAAAGTTGTCATTGTTGATTAACTCCAGATTATTTGTTGACTTCTTTATAAACACGTACATGTTTGTGGGAGCCATCATATTAAAAAATACTTGACCCAGCATTTCTGATGTCACCAATGTTCTAAAAAGATAATGGTTCCCTTTATTTAACAATTTAATAAGTACAATGTCAGTAGATTATGCCTTGTTTATTCCTAAACTGCATGCATTATTTCAGTATGATGTTCTAAATAAAAAAATATGTTTTAAAAAATCAATGACAGAATATTTTGGTATGCTAACACCTGTACACTCACCTAAATATACTTTTCTGAATCTTCTGATCATTGGCAATATTAGAAGAATGACATTGTGGTTTATGGCACATTGTGGGCAAAATCAGCCTGTATACTTCCTTACAAGTCACAGGAGTTCCCCCAAGAGTGATACACACTTCATCTGGTATAGAAGGGCCATTTATTTCATGTAAGAGGCTCTACAATAAATTAAATTAAATCATAATAAACAGAATTATGGCTAAGTGAAAAAGAAATATTTTATAACACACCTATGGCATCAGCAATTGAGTGAATTGTCAAATTGGTAAATACAATTAACTGCTATATTCTCAGATTTACTGAAAACTTAAAACCAAGTACTTTGTATGAATTATCTGAACCATTTTTTATAGTAGCCTTATTTAAAGAGCATAAAACCAACTTTACCTTTAAAATATAATCTAGATTTTCTAATGTCGTAGATGCTATATGATAGTGTCTTTCTGACTGAAAACTCTCCTTGTGATCTTCATTTTCACAATTTTTCTTCATCGTAACTACTTGTTTCAACCACTGATATGTGTAGGGGATTTGTAATCTTTGATAAACTAAAAATTTAATTATTTCCACAACGATATGTCCACATGATATAGAAGTCAGTTGATCACCAATATTTAGATTAACGATTACTGGTTTTAAATTTTTAGATACTGAATTCATTTCGAACAAGTTTTAATATCACAATTATTTTTATGGTTATTTCAATATCTTTTCTGTAAATTCTAAAGTTAAAATATTTTAAATTCAGTATCGGTTGATGGCATTTAATTTTTTTTTGTTCTGTTTATCCTTTAAAAGAAAGGCAACGGGAACTGCGCCCATACAGCCATGTCTGCATGTCAGTGGTTTTTCAATTAAAAGTATAAAATCAAACTAGGCAATCTTATTAAAGTCAGCCAGTCAAAAAGCTATATATTTTGGAACGAAGATCTAACGACTGCAAAGAGACAGATAGACAAACAGTAGACAGACTATTTTCTCATTTTCTTAAATGAATATTATTATATATATTATAATAAAATGTAATTTGAAAAACTAAGAACAGCAACAACACAATTATTATTTATAGGTATTTTTGATGTTTTGTTTTTGCAGTAGGAAGAAGGAATTGTATAAGACTGAGTATTTCTTTTTATAATTTGTAGACTGACCTAATATAATTAACGTTGTGACTATAAAATAATAAATAATAATAAAATAATTAATTTTATTATTTCCTTCCAATTGCTACATCACACATAAATACCTACTACATAGACTCATGACAGTGCTTACGTACCATTAATAATTAAAATTGCAATAAAATATTGATGTTATGAAATATGTACTTTTTAAATATTATTGGTCAGTAATAATTCTAAAATTAAATATACTGTTACAGATGTCTAAAAATTTTAACATATTACCGCTTGTCATTTGAGTTGCGAATTTTTTTATATTAAAATGTACTTGAATCAAAGATTTATTCACTTCGGTGTTACGAAGATGCAATGTATTTCGAAGCGGAATTATGCAAAGGATGTAAAGTTTGGGCCAGATGTTAGATCCCTTATGTTACAAGGAGTCGATATTCTCGCTAATGCTGTTGCGGTTACTATGGGTCCTAAAGGACGTAATGTTATTTTAGAACAGTCATTTGGACCACCAAAAATAACTAAAGATGGAGTTACCGTTGCCAAGGGCATCGAATTGAAGAATAAATTCCAAAATATAGGTGCGAAACTTGTACAAAATGTTGCAAATAAAACTAACGAAGAGGCTGGAGATGGAACTACAACTGCTACCGTTTTAGCTAGGGCTATAGCCAAAGAAGGATTTTCAACCATTTCTAAGGGGGCTAATCCGATTGAAATTAGAAAAGGTATTAAGCTGGCTGTAGATACTGTACATCAAAGGCTAAAAGAAATGTCCATACCAGTTAAAACTTCAGAAGATATTGAGCAAGTTGCAACAATATCTGCCAACGGTGATAGACAAATTGGTAAACTAATTGCTTCAGCAATGAATAGAGTTGGTAAAGATGGTGTTATTACCGTTAAAGATGGCAAAACTTTTACCGATGAGCTTGAAATTATAGAAGGCATGAAATTTGAACGTGGTTATGTATCGCCATATTTTATAAATTCGACTAAAGGGTCCAAAATTGAATATAACGATGCCTTAGTTCTTTTTTCTCAGAAAAAAATATTCAACGCTCAACAAATATTACCAGCTTTAGAAATAGCTAATTTACAGAAGAAACCTCTAATTATTATTGCTGAAGATTACGATGGTGAGCCCTTATCCGTACTTATTGTTAATAAACTTAAAATAGGATTGCAAGTTGCTGCTGTGAAGGCCCCTGGATTTGGTGACTTCAGAAAAAATGCATTATTAGATATGGCTATAGCTACAGGAGGTGTTTTATTTGAAGATGATCCTAACCTCGTAAGACTGGAAGACTGTCAACTAGATAGTCTAGGCAAAGTTGGAGAAGTTGTTATTACTAAAGATGCAACTCTTTTATTAAAGGGAAAGGGTAATAAAAATGACATCAAACAACGCATTGAGGAAATCAAAGAAGAATTGGAGGACACAACGAGTGATTATGATCGATTACGTCTTATGGAAAGATTGGCAAGGCTGCAGTCCGGTGTTGCATGTCTTTTAATAGGAGGATGTAGTGAACTTGAAGTAAGTGAAAAGAAAGATCGTGTTAATGATGCATTAAACGCTACACGAGCAGCCATTGCAGAAGGCATTGTGCCAGGTGGAGGAGCGGCCTTGTTACGTTGTATACCAGCCCTAAAAAAATTAAATCCAGCTAACTATGACCAAGCGATAGGTATATCAATAATCAAAAAAGCTTTACGCACTCCGTGTATTACTATAGCCACCAATGCTGGAACTGATGGCGCCGTTGTTGTATCAAAAATAGAAGACATGTCTGATGAATATGGGTATGATGCTATAAATAATGAATATGTGAATATGATTGAGAAAGGCATTGTTGATCCAACAAAGGTAGTAAAAAGAGCACTAACAGATGCTAGCAGTGTTGCGTCTCTTTTAACCACCGCAGAAGCCGTTATTTGTGATTTGCCTAGAACAAATGAAGCTCTAACACCATCGTCAGATATCGCTGGAGTTGGCGATTATTAATATCATTCCATTTTTATTACTTACTACTACCATAACTTACTTTCTCATATTTCTAATATAATATAGGAAACAATCCAATACTACGATGTCCTTCAATAAAATGTATTTAAAATTTTAATATGTTTGTCACTATTCAAATTTAACAAGCTGTAGAGTAAAAATAGTGCATGGTGATACTCGTTATTTATTTTCAACTTTTGCTTTTTTTATATAATGAGAATGGCAATCAAGCTGGCGGCCCACCTATGGTAAACATTAAACTGTCTATATACATGAACAATATCGCAGAAATCATGTTATCATGTGATATCACTGAGACCACACATTCAAGAAGACTAAGATGTCATACCTCGTAACTATTAATTATAAAGAGATGTTTCGAAATAAGTGAAACTGAGGTGTCGCCAAAGTACGTCGCGACTACAAAACAAACCTGTAAAAAGAAAACAAAAAATATGAATAAAAATACACTTGATAAATATTTACTTAACCGTATATACGTATATAAAAAAACTAATTACATGTTACTATATTTAATATATACATTGTTTGTGTGTAGCGGAATACATAAGATGTTATATCTATCTTTGTAATTATAAATGTGTGGTATGGTTGGCGTGTTGATAACAGGAGTGATATTAATAAAAGACTTAATAAATTGCAGTGTATATAATATCAGAATTAAAATAACAAATAATAATTAATGTAACATCTTTTTAAATGAGTAATTTGCAAGCGAATCTCTCTGACATTTTGACAATATACTTTTTATTAAATGTACACATATAGGTATATGTCTAGTTAATGCAAGAAGGTTGGTCGCCTACATAGAAAACTAATCCCGTCACTTGTTTTTAGAAAGCGACACGTTTCGTTAGTAGAGTTGTTATTTTTTATATCACTTCCCTCACGCCTTAAACGAATATGTCACATTAAATACAATAATTTGTTTCATTACCAAATGTTCCACCACTCCTCGCTTTTACGTATCGGTTTCATTAGGATTGGAGGGTGAGATACAGCAGTGGATTTACGGGTATGGAGATATAAGATCTTATTCGTCTGAAATAAAAACGAAGTGATAATCATGTTACTATTCGAAAATGATACATATACTCAAGAATGATAAAACTGTGACTACGTAGTATGGACTATGCTCTTCGCCTGGCCAAATTGGATGAATTTTAAAACAACAACAGTCAATCTGTCTGTCAAATTTTTTTGTTTGACTATCTGACAGTTGGATAATATTGGCGCCAGTTTCTTGTCACCGATTGATTATAAATATTTCTTTAAATTTTACTTTTGTTCATGTTAAAAGTTAAAAATCCACTTCTTATCCAGTATAAAATTAAAATATAATGTATTTGACGTACGTTTGTATATATATGTAATTCAGTTCTAGTTGAGTAATATGCCTTAAAAACATGGGTGCCGTTATTAACTTATTTTAGTTTGCTATTTTGTAAGCAATAGTTATGTATGTAACCTGCTATTAGCATTGAACATACACATTTGAGCTCTGCTATTGATGCACCATCAATTGTATCTTCTAGAATGGATATAAATAAAATGAACCTCGAAGATGAGCAATGCAGTGATGAAGACACTGATCTTGTAAAATTAGCAAAAAGATGTGTACAGAGATTTCCTGATAGTGAAAGCGATGAAGAGAAAGAAATTTCTGAAAATAGTGACAATAACGCATTCGTGGCAAATGGTCAAAAACTTTCGCATGTTAAAACAAACAGCCAATTAGAAAGAAAAGACGATTCTTCTGAAGTAACTAAAGTTCATAAGTCCAGATTAAGGACCATTTGTACTAGTGATGATGACAGTGATCCAGAAACTAAGACTGTTGCTGCTAAAAACAACCAACAGCAGCTACAAATGCCAAAGAAGAAAAATAAATTAAAGGAGACTTTTCAGAAGTTGATTACTTCAGCTGGGAGTGATGATGAAATGGAAAATGAAAACTATCAAATTGATAATAATTCATCATCTAATCATGACAGTAATGTAACTTCTGTGGATACTTGTGGATCAGCAGGTGTATCATCAATAGTTAAAATTAAAAAGGTAATCAATATTTGATTTTAAAATTTTGTGAGTCTAATTACCTTACATAATTTAATCTTTTATTTATTTTGTTTATATAGAAATTTAAAAAAAGAGTGCCTATGGTTAAGACCACTCTTTACGATCCAGATACTTCAGATGAAGAAAACTGTCCAATGAAATCTGTGCAAAAAAATAAAGAGATGAAAACTACTATTCTAACTTCACCAAAACCCATAAAGGTAAATTTGAACTTAACTTTTAATCATTACATTTACATTTTAGAAGTAGAGACTGGTCTAAGTATAGTCCAAAATCCTAATATTCTGATTCAAGTAATAATTTTTATTCAGATTATTAAATATATAATTTTTACCAAACCTGTCATTTTTAAATTTAATATCAGACTGATATTTGGCCAAACCATGTGAAAATGTCTAATCATCATATGGCACCACAATAATAAAGTTGTACTTTAAAACATCCAAATATTAAAGTAACTTTAGTTACACCTTTCTGTCCTTTTGAAATGCTTTTAAATTAATGTGACATAAAAAAATATATTAATTAATTTACTACACTTTAGCTGCGAGTCCAGCTGGATCACTAATTAACATTCTCTAGAGTAAAGTATTAAATATGAATTGTAATTAGTTTATTTCCATATTCGGTGTATGACTATAATTATTTAAATACATAAATTCAATAATCTAACTCTATTGCAATAGTGATTTGTACTGTCAAATAACATCCGAAATAATAAAATTTAATACTATCATTATTAATTATATCTTAGTTGTTTACATGAATTCGGAATTTGGTTTTTTCTAATTGGAGCTAATTGTATTATTGAGATTTTGTTTATTTTGCTTAGTTAACTGCAAAGCAAGCATTAGAGAATATGCAAAAAATAAAAAGTGAATCTAATCGTATGCTGCGAGAAAAAGAAGTATCACTGCCATACCATCGTCCAAAGGCATTAACTCTCAAGGACATAATGAGTAGAAGGAAACCAGCAGTTGCTTCTGATGGTAAAGCTTTACCTATCAAAATGAATGATGAACAATTGAAACAATATGTGTGAGTATATATTTTGTTTTTAAGTGATCAAACCATATAGGTTCTATGAGGAATGATTACTGAATATAAAACCAATGCTTAGATCTAGTATAATATTTGATTTTTGTGAGTTACAGAAGGTTCTTTTCTGTGTAGACGTAGGAATTTTATTCTAATATTCATCATCATCATCATCGCAGCCCGGAAGACGTCCACTGCTGGACATAGGCCTCCCCCAAAGATCTCCACGACGATCGGTCCTGCGCTGCTCGCATCCAATGCCTTCCATCGATCTTGACCAGATCGTCGGTCCACCTTGCTGGAGGCCTTCCCACGCTGCGTCTTCCGGTCTGTGGTCGCCAATAATTCTAATATTACATAATCCTTTTTATAGGCAATTACTAGAACAGAGACAGAAAGAGTTGATGGAACTATGTAAAAGTGATACAGATGAAGAAACGGAGAACACAGTAGAAGAAACCAACCCGCAATCAAGGAGTTTAAATCTACATACTGATTGTAATAAACATGATATATCTGAAAATGGTGAAATCACTGATATTGATACTGCAAACAAAGATGAAAATAAAATAATAAATTGTAACAATAATGCTCAAGACTATGACAGTACTAAATTAGAAAATGAATCTGTGGGATTACCTGAAAATAAAACAATTGATAAGACTGAAAATATTTCTAATTCTAATGTAAAGCTAATATATGAAGATTCTGTAGATAGTTCTTGCAAATTAATTGATAACGTACAGAAATATGGCAATTCAGATAAATGTATAAATTCAGAAATACATAATGTAATCTCAAAACAAGCAACAGACAATCAATCATTATCTCTGCATAATGATACAGATACAATAGACAATGAAGGGACAAATACAAGGATTGGTAAAGAAGTTGTAGATTTGGACATGTCTATTAATAATGATAGTAAATTTGATGAAATAAACCAAGAAATGATGAATATAAATGACAATGACTTTGATACTGATAATGTCTTCGATATTGAAGAAATAGATAAAATAATAGAAAATGCTGAAATAAGTAAATGTTTTCTTTTCTTGTATTTTCTTATTATATCAATTACTTAACAAGTAGTTAATCTCAGATACTGTGTAATGTAATATCTGAGAATTAGAATTAGAATTAGAATTGGTAACAAATTACTTGATTTTTTTTTTATTTTGTATTAATTGTTTAGTTTACTTATTCTTTTTCTCTTTTAGATACTAATTGTGAGCAAAATAGGAAGTCATTGTCTGATAAAGCTACGATATCGAAAAATATTATGCCTAAATTAACTGGAGCTCCTGGAATGGTTATTGATTTTGATGCCTCTGATACTTTTGTGACTAATAAATCTGGTGTTGAATTGCTGAAAGAGAGATTCACTTACTTTGCAAAACTTAAAACACCAGAGGAATTGGAGAGAGAAAAGGAAAGGAGGTAAACCTTACTTTTTTTTTAATAATTTAATAATATTTGTTGTTTGTTCTAAATTTAATTTTTAACATCATATTCTTTAGATTGAAACCAGGTACTCAACATTTGAAACTGAAACAAGAACTTGAAGAGCAAATTGCAGAACAGAGGTCACTTGAATGGGCAAAACGATTAGAGAATGATAAACAAAATAAATTGGAGGTGAATGCAGTCCTAGGTGATGTTTTTGATGACGATGATATTGAGAAAATGGAGGCTAAGCTAAGTGATGAAGAATTGATAAATAATACTTCAGAAAGTGAAGAAGAAGAAGAAGTAGAAGATGATATTGAATTAAAGGATACTCCTAGAACAAGAAATCCGCTGATTGATGATGAGGCTGAAGAATCGAATGAAGAAGAGAGCAATGATGTACAGACTACCAAGAAAGATGATGGAAATAGAAAAAAATATGTTGATGTAGAAATTAATAATGAGAATGAACTTGAATTTCAAGAAGCCAGTGAAATTGAGGCTGATAATGAGAGTGATAGTTGTTCAAGTGAAAATGAATCGTCAGAGTCTGAAGTTGAAACTAATTTAAAGCCAAAGAAGGGTAGAATATTGAAAGCTTTTGAAGATTCAGATGATGATGATAATATCTCAGATATATTGGACAAAAATAGTAAACTTGTAAATGTGAATAATAGTAAAGAAACTATTGATGACAATAGAACTTCAGATTCTATTATAAATTGTATACCAACAAGAAGTCATGTCACAGGTGAAACTCAAGGTGATTTACATAAATTCCAAACTTTTCAAATTTGATTGGATAATGTATGACTGGGACATGTATACAATGCGTTCTAAGAATGTTATATGAAGGTTTTTATTGTTATTACATGATAAAAAAATGTTCTAAGTATTAAAGTTTGTTTTGTAGTATACACCAGTAGTAGTCTAAAAATATAGGTATTACATTATTTATTTTGTTGCCTCTGTGAAGGTAGGAAGGAAGGTGTTACATATGAATGTGGATTGTTATAAGGGCTGAGGAAGGCCGAAAAAGCGATGGATGAACTGTGTGAAAGATGATATGGTAAGAAAGAAAGTAAATAACTAGATGACTGTGAATAGGTAAGAATGGAAGAGAAAAACATATTACGCCGACCCCGAATAAATGGAATAAGGAAGAAGCAGATGATGATTTCGTAGCCTCTGTCCAACCCTTAATTGTTTTTTATTTCAATGATTTAATTTTAATATTGTCCATATATTTTCCAGATGATGATCTACAGTTAGCTCAAATTCACAAGTCGTTTTCTGAAGACCTGTTCACAAGTCAAGAAAGTGGAATAATTAGTTCCTCCAATCAAAAACAGCCTAAAGATGATTTGCTTGATTTGGGAACACAAACATTTTCTATTCTCAATACTACTGATAATCAAAAAGCAAGTGTACCTTTAGACTTAGTTGACTCAGACAAGATGACTGTCATTTGTGAAACACCCCCTGATGATGATGTGAGTCTATAAGGACTGATTAAATCCATTATATTGAAAATAAATTTCTCTGACTGTCGAGGGTTGTCATATTTACCCACACATTTCTTTTTTTATAATGTTTGTTAGTTGGTTATTATATAATTATTCCGCTTAGAACCATTAACTATGGAAATATAGAGCACCTTTCAGTGGGACCTTATGGTAAAGCACTTAATAATCCTGGGATTATAAGATATCACATACTTGTAGCATAATTTTTTTTAACATTTAACTTTAACAAACCCACTATATGTTAAAGGGCTTTTAACTGCAATTCTTAAAATTCAGCGATAATCATAAAAAATCCATACCATTTAGTTGTCAGTATGATGGTAATTAAATCTGTACTTGTTTTTTTACAGGCTAATTTAGATGCCATTGTAGGCATGTGTTCTGGAAGTTTCTCACAGAATCTAGTTACGTCACAATTGCCAACAACACAAACTCAATCTCAGGCAATTGGTGAAGACATTCTCAATCTTTGCACTGGGAAATTCTATGATAATGAATTTGTCTCACAAACAGAGGAAAATGTGGTATTAAATTCCCTTCAAGTTACGGATGATAAATATACTAATGATTCAGAACCTAAAGCAGATAACAGTAAGAAATCTGAGGACAGAAATTTATTAAAGTCAATACTTGATGAACTGAACGACCCTGAATTTGATATTCCTAAAAGTAATGTGTATTTCCCAAGTAGTACAGAAAACAAAGAAAATGTTAATAACATGAATAATACACAATTTAAAAAGAAATTTATTATTGATTCTGATGATGAAATTGATAAATCAGCTGATATAAATGGAATGAAACAAAAGAAAAAAATTAAGAAGAAAAAGTTAGAAAAAAGAGCATTACAAATTTCTGGTAATATATCAACTAAGTTTTTAGTAAAATCTCTTGAAGAATAGTAATATTAGAGTGATGTTGCATTATCAAAATTTGTCGACTATAAGTAATATTAGACCTCCATGAATTCAACAATTTACAAGATAAATTTTCGTTTTAATCCTATTACATTCAAGAATAGATAATATTTATTAGAGTTAAGAAGTTTATTTTATTATCATCTATGATATATAAGGTTGCATTTCATATATATAAAATCATAACTAAATTATTTTATCAATTTACGAATTTAGTAATATTTACTTATAAATAAACTGTGATATTTACATCCCACGTCTTTTTCTTTTATAGATGACGAAGAAGATGAAGATGAAAATAATTATGTTATATCAGATCTTGAGGATGATGCTGATGAGAATGCTACCAAACTTGTGGAATATGATTCAGAAGAGAATGAAGTAAATAAAATTAATGCTTATGAAATTATTTGTCCTGGTATATTATCATCGAACAGTCCACACTACTTTTGAAATTTGTTTTTTGGAACATAGATTTATTTTACGTAATCAGTCCTATGAAAGTATGTTTTTACAATTTCAAATCACCGGCATTGCAACAATCATTTACCAATACATAATATTTATATCTGCATCTGCTGAATATTTCTCAATCATCTTTAAAATTATAGTTGATTGTGATTTCAGAGTCAAATAAGTTTTAGTCAAGTTGGTTAATTTATTGAAATGTAACAAACCAATTAGAAAAAAAACAAATTAAATTGTTTTTGTTTAATTATTGCAGGTGGAAGTGAAGCCTCAAGATCTAAAAAAGAAACGCAAAATGGCTGATTTCTTCGAACAGGAGGCTGAATTGACCTCTGAAGATGAGTGGGTGGGTTCAGGGGATGAAGATGAGGCAGATCTAGACCGTATGGAACGCGAGGCGGGTGATGATGAGACCTTCAATCAGAAAAAACTACAGAGGGAATTGGGCCAGATTCATTTGTATGTAATATTGTTCTTTTATCAACATTTTCATATATATGTATTGCACAATTAATATCCTTGAACAAACTCATGTCCCATAGTGTTCCTTATTAATTTACTTAATTTAGGACTGTGGTATAATAATGTTAGTTTGAAGTTATATCAGTTATTAAACTCTGTAATACTAATTTCTTTGCAGCAGAAATAAGTGAGATTTATACTGATATAGACAACTGCATGAAAAGTTTCCCTTTTGCTCTTAAATAATTTACTTTCACATTTGCAATAATTAGAAACTGAAGAAAAACATTGCGTCAAATATTAATGGCAGAGGAGATCAATCCTTAAAAGTTTTTATAACAAATTTCAGGCGGGATGTGCTGGACCAAGATAAGCGTGAAGTTAGAATAATACAAGAATTGATGTTCGAGGACGGCGACTTGGGTGCTGGTGGTCGACAACGCAAGTTCCGCTGGCGTAATGCTGGTAATGTCTTACATATCTACGAGTATACTCTAAGAAACCTAAGAATATTATGCTTAGATTATGTTTATGAAATGGATATTATTTGATGAATGAAAACTCAGAAAGTTTCATTATGTTGTATGAAGTTGGCTTTTAGGTATAAATATAAAGAGATGGTACATCATGCAGTTTCTTTGTAATTTAAGAACGTAAAACGTGCTTTTGATCTATTTCTGTTCCTGATAATTTTCTTAATCACATTTACTTGTGCAACGGACATCACATCATATTATGATAATGTCCATAATACCCCTCATGTCTCATGTAGGGGATTGTTATTAATGAGCGCAATCAATAGGAACACAATGCTAGCAATATATAGAAGACCATCACTCTGTCCCCTCTGGAAATTATCTTAATTAATTTCTGGCGAATTCACTCAATGGGCTACCCATAGACTATATATCTATACCACACTTGACGTCATACTCAACATATCGTCATCCACTACAGACAAGTGCACCACTCATTAAAGATATAACCTTCTTGTGTTACTATTCCTGTGTACTAAGTTGTTTTGCCTCCATAGTCCACCTAATAAATTCGTAATACAAAGCAATGCCGACACATTGTCTACTTGCTTCATCTTCTACATCATAAAATGGGGTTGCTGTTAGTCAAAATAATGTTATGTATTTTCAGATGATGAAGAAGAAGTTGGTACTATGCCTGAGGAATTTGCGGATACGCAGGAAGAAGAATTCGAGTCTGAGGAGCAGTGGCGTAAACAACGCCACGAGAGAGAAGTTTTCTTACGACAAATGGTAAATTCACATAATCTCAAGCCACTTTATAAAATTAAAATTGTAAAAGGCTTTTATGTCTGTTCATTATAGATATTGAAACAAAAACGAATAAGAAGTACCTTACTTAGTTGTTTTTGGAGTGACAAAAGCATAATAACAGTTTGTAATATGTCTATGTGTAACTCTATTCAGTGCTTTCTAGACTTAAATGCAGGTTTTGTATTGCTAGACTTCTAAATTAAAATATTTTCCCCATTTCGCTCTGTATATTTTATTCCAACATGGCAAGGAGCGAATCTACCGCCCTTATCGATTAATTTTTGGTTTGATATCGGTATTTCTTTCATCGAAGAGAAACAAATCGTACATATTTCTGTCACCTTCAACTTTCTTTATAGGCTGTGGACCGATTTAGAGCGTGATATTGTAGTTAAATTACAGGTATGAAGGAATTACACTGACAATAAAAGGAATGTCAACACATGAGGTGTACCATGTACTTATCAGGGTATTTTTTGTAATATCTGTGGTGCTATTTGTGTGTATAAAAAATGGCAGCTTTCCAGCATGTTGACCATTAGCTTATTTGCCATTTCAGTTAAATATATACAAATATTTTTTATGTACTTTTAGGAACACAAAGACGATAAACCGGAAGACAATCTGAATATGAGCATAAATAGAACCACCATAATCAAAGCAAATTTATGTTCGAGAACTATGTCTAGTTTATTGTCTCAAGTAAATAAGACAACAAATGAAATGAAAAATAGCCCCTCGGTTCCAGAGAAAAAAAATAGCAAAGATGTACCAAGTCCCAAAAAAGCATTTGCTGTATTCCAGGTAAATATAAATGTAACATTATCTTATTGATTTATGTAGAAATGTTTGCGATTTTAATATAATGGATATGTTATAATTAGTGGTCAATTGTCAAAATTAAGACTACAGTTTTTTTTTCATTGCAGTAATTAAAGGCGCAAGATGTTTCATATCTATGTTACTGAAGGACTGTATATAAATGAGAGTGAGAAATTGCTTTCATTCTATACACGCATCTCTGTACCGAAATGACTATGCCTAAGAGAAATGCTTAGAACATTCAATAAATATAATAATCTACAATGTTTATATTATTGCAGCAAAATTATCATGGTTCGTTACTATCGCGAGGACGCGGTGCACTCGCTCGGTTGGCTGCCTTGGCGACGCCATTGGCGGTCGACGACGACGCACCGAAGATTGGATCGCTTTTGCCGTCTAATAAGAGGAACTTTGTTTTCGCTGCACTCACCCAAGAAGACAATGAACCTAAGGTAAATGTTGCATTTTATATATTATTTTTTTATAGTTTATTTTCGCTATTGCAATGTCGGTTTGATATTAGCAACACACAGATTAATACTAATAGTTGTAGTATAATTTAATGCTACTAACACAGTTCAACACCATAATTTGTGCTATAAATTATTTTGCGATGTTAAATTATACATAATTGTAGATTTATATATACTATATAAATATTATATTGGTATATTTTTATATAACCAGAAAAAAGGTATAACACTCTTAAATTGAAATCACAGTCATTACAACAAATAAAATTTGAATGAAACAAAAGGACATAGAAAATAATAATATTCTTTCTAGTGTTCATATTCAATTTATTTTCAAGTATTTCTCTCCTTTACTTTCTATGATTTCATGCAATTCATTTCTAGTGGATTAATTAATTTTATGATATATATACAAATAACTCACCATAAATAGTTCCGCAAGGTTTGGAGTACCCTCTGCATTAGCCCACATTTTCGTTCGATAAAGCATATGTAATAGGGAGAACTGTGACTAAATTTGACTAAAATGGTAATTATCTTATTACCCCATTAATTTTTAAATATTTTTGTCACAGGTACAAAAAAGAAAAGCTGAAACAAATATCGGCACCCCTAAACTGGTGAAGAAAATGAAAACTGAAGAAAAACGAAAAGGGCCTAAAAGTAGTTTGTTAGACCATTTAAAAATATAGTGTATTATTTATTTTTATTTTTTAACTTTGTAATATATGCTATATACTTAAGTGATAAATTAGAATAATTGTTGACAATAACTGCTTGTGTACGATAAGCTAAAATAAGAGTTAAATAAAATTATATGTGGAGCATCTGTGGTGCAGTATTATTTGGTATTCTTTAATGGACTATTTAAATTACTCTGAAAAACATTTTCTACATTTTTATTGGTACCCTGTGAGGGTATATTTTGTATAATTTATGGACAATAAATCATGCAATATCTACCAACATTGTATGCAGGTAATGAATACACCTGCAGAAAATTAATCTATGTTATATGTATATATTATAATTATTTTAAAATTAACAGCCCATGAGACTACCTGATGTGTGTGTGTAGTACACATTCATATACGGGTTTATATTATGCAAGCAATTATATTTCAATATAATAACCCGAGAAACCCATGTTCATTATTTACTCGTCTACACAGCGCTAACAACAATGGGTTCTTGGCCTTGCACTGGGCAAATGGCTAGAATAAATAAGTGTACTGCTGTACAATACAATACAGTTGTAAACTTATTGTGAAAAACAGTTTAAAACATAACTAGGTAAGTATAATTAAATAATCTACGAAGCAAAAAAAGTTAGGGTAATATTTCCATACAATAAAATAATTGTAACAATTGACAAATTCTACTATTAAAATTCTAATGAACGCTTATTTTATATCTATGGGTGTATTACTCTTCAAGACAACTAATTGTGGTAAATATGCTTGAAACAGAAAGTATAAAATACCATCGCTCTCGAAAATGTAGTAGTAGTAAAAGTTCATAAGTTAGGCTTTCAAATTTGGCGGTGTTATTTGTTAACTTTAACGATTAATTGCCGAGCAGTATAATGGCTAAAATTTCGATACAAATTCCAAATAGTTGCCATAAAAAATAACTATATTAATACAGTGAGAATTGCAATATACTTTATAAACAGGCTACAAGACCGGAAAAAACTAAAACGATAGTACAGACATAGAATTATTTCCGAGGTCTGTTACTTTTCAATTATATAATCTTTGAACTATCATCTTGTTATTTTCAAAACAGATATGGCAATGACTGAAAATGTTTTTTTGATATTGAGAACATTGAAGTTTAAAGACTGTATCCTTCCGCTTCCCCCTCCAATTTACTAAAATCAGACTATCTCGCTTATTCAATAGCAAAAAGTGAACTATTTGCGCGTCTATCTCGCTTAGCTTCTCGCCGTCAGTTCACTTGCCGGCCGTTTTCGTGCGTGGCGTTCAATAAATGCTTTTTCCTGTGGTGTGGGGTAGTAACGTATCGTGAGAAGATTTCTAGTCAAATAAAATCGAGTATTCTATAAAAAGTACTCCTATTAAAGGCAGTACTATAGTAACGAAATGGCGAATGAAATTAATGAAATCGGCAGCATCGTCAAGAAATGCAAAATTCTTTTGTTGGACATAGAAGGAACAACAACATCGATCAGCTTTGTTAAGGTAGGTCTGATGGTTGACCGGCCGGTGTTTTGTTTCAATGTATTTATATGTATAAATATATTGTAACTTATATATTTTTGCTTGTTATTGATTATTTGTCCACCAAACAGTACTGGACATGCAAAATGTTCGCATTTAGGATTTGCAATATGGTGGACGAAATCAAAATGGTACCTCTATTCATGTCGCTTTCATTGTCCATTTTTTATCCATGTGCTTTGAAATAGTGGTTTACTTCACATTTATGTTTGTTTTTTATTTTTTATACCTACAGGCATAAGTCTCTTTTAAATCAAAAGCGCTGTAATTTCTGCTAAGAAAAGCAAATTTGATAGTCCAAAATATAGCTATATCATACCATAGGAAAGTACCTACATAGTATTGTAATTTTACAAAGTGAAAGGCACGCTGGTTTTGTGTTAAAGGGTTTTCTAGACGTTCCATAGTGGTTAGAAACGTGATAGGAAAGGTGACGGCCGGCATATAGCCACGAACAGCTGTTTAGAGCAGCTGGCTTGTAAAAAAAGTGGAACAGTTAACTGTCCTGTTTCAATAGCCTTCAAGTCTCTCGCTCTGTCCTTGTTCCACGCGTTACCGACTTACCATTATGATGGAGATAAAAAATGATTGACGTTACTTCCATACGCGGAATAATAATATGACGACACCGCGTGCGACTTGCGCTTTCATTAAGTATCAATTCAGTTTTTCTTTGGATATATTTGGAGGTCAAGTGCATGCTTTACTCAGTACCTAGATAAATTATATTATCAAAGACAATAAGTACACCCTGTTAAAGGTTTTTATTGATGAAAACGGAATATAACATTCATCTACATTAATACCTATTTACTGTTTATTTAATTGAAATGACCTGACACTACTTCAGTAAATGATGAGGATAAATTCTCTAATATGAAGTAGACAATTAGGAATAGTAATGGATATGCTTGCCACCACCTTTAAGAATCTCAATGAAAAAATTATCTTAATATGTGGTATCATATTTAAGCATTTTAATTATATTGATCATGATAATATAATCTTTTATTACTAACATTACATTCAAATTTATTATAGTCTTTCTTTTGATGGCTGATATATATGTATACAAGTCTTAATTGTAATTATTTTTAACAGCTGATTATTATAGAGTTATTCATTATAATGATTATCATTATCTCAGAATAGATTACAAAAAATATTATAAAAAAAATTCTAGCTGTTCTTTTAGGAGCAACATTCAAAGCTATAAAAATCTTAGTTTGCTGTTAAAGCATTTAGTATTCAATATTTTTTTAAATAGGTACATGTTTAAAATTCGTTTTGGTAGATGGTAGATGTAGGATGTAGACCTATCTTAGGTATAAAATGAAGGCTCTTAGTTGTGGTTTCAAGTAACATAGATTAATATGATTAAATTTGTTTCATTGTCTTATCTTGTGTATCTTCTCCAATTGTTTTTGTCTTATGTAATTTGTTGGAACTATAGTTCCATTACTACTTTCTTTATCATCTTTCCAAACAACTGTTAATACTGTTATTTTGTAAAATCTGTGACAACATTTATTTCCATTGGTCATTAAACTAATTTTATCTACTTTATTATTTATCATTAATCATGGTTTTGTTATGTTTCTGGTGAAATGCAGTGGAGAGTTGAAAGGTTATTATTAAACTGTCAATGTTGTGTACATTTTTTTATAACTCCACTTATCATATTGTCTGATGGTACTTGTCCTATTTGATTTAAATTTTGTTAGAGGTTAAACCTATAGTAACCAATTATATTAGGTAATGTAACATAAAGAATTTGAAGTTATAGTTATTAATGATTATATGCTTTATATTAAAGTACTAAAATTTTTGTCACATTTAATGCTTCATGTAAGGTAGAATAACATACAAATTGTCACTAATATCAGGAAAGATTAAATTTGGTTTATTTTAAACCTCCAAATCAGAAGGACTTTATGGTGTGTTTTAATCCAAAAATAATGTAACTGTTACTCACTATATGGTAGTCATGATGAAATTTCATCAAGTAGGCCATCAGCTTGTTTGTCAATCCTAATTCCATCCATCTATATCAACCCATTAGCATCACAGATTAGGGTAGGGGTGGTGAGCAGATAATATTACCAAGCTGATGCAACTGCCAGGTATTGGATTTTAAATAAAATATTCCTTCTCATCCGTTGCTTTATTGTGTTTTTGTTCTCAACTTAATCTTAAGACAGAATGTAACAATGATTTATACATTGCATTCTCTGATACCGCCCAAAGGTTCTGTGTGCTATAAATTATAATCACTTATAAATTAATTTCAAATCTACCCTAATCCCAGACTAGGGTAGATTTGAAATTTCAGAGGCAATGTCTAAAGTAGCCCATATTTTCCTTGGTTTATTAAAATACAATGTGACAACGGGAGAGACTACCGCCGTTTCTTGGGTAAATTTTTTGACGGTGTTTTCGTCACCAGAACGGCGACAATATGTATAAATTGAAACCATGTTTTATTTGTATTCGAATTCGTAACCTTTCGCGTCGGGCTTTTAACCAATACGTAACGTCGTCCAATTTTTTTTATTTTAATTTTTTTCTACTATTGCATTACATACTTGCACATACTTTATACACATAATAATATATGACTGTAGACAGGTGGAATCCAATGTGATAGCTGGTGAAATCATCGTCTCTCACGATATTGTTCTTTGTTATCGGACATTCTATCACGGAATCTGTGATCAGAAATTCAGTCTGAAACGTAAATTAGCATACAAAGTTTTTTGGTGGCAATTAGATTAATGACCTTTGGGATTAGTCGCGGGTTCATCGAGTTTGTGCAGTGAATCACTGGCCCACACCGCTCTCTGATTTAATTTAGTATCAGTTTTTTTAATCGATGATAATGGAATGCTGCACTCCTCTACGCCTGCGCTAGCGGTATACGCTGCGGGGCACCAGTGGAGGATAACAAGATGACCTCATGCTCCGACAGGTCAGGCGAATTAAACACGGTGGTTTCAAGGATTTTTCGAATGGAGCTCGACATGTCGTTGGAAATCATTGGCAATGGGCCCATGGTTATATTTTGTATATTATACTAGCTGACCCGCACAACTTTGTCTACAGTCTGGATCTCATTTTCCCCGTTATTTATAGCTATTCCGCTCCTATCGCTGTGTGATGTTATATATGACACGAACAAATAATGTTTTGTATTGGTAAAAAATTCTAAATCGGTGCATTAGATCCAGAGATTACCGTCCCTACAACGTCACAAACTACCTCTATATTAGTATAGAAGTACCTATATATGATTTTTATTGTACATCTACAATTAAAATTCTGTTACGAGACCTAGTTGTTTTCTACGTAAGGACCCATCTTTATCTGTTCTGAAATATTTTATTTAGTTAATTGGATCAGATGTATTGCATTTGTGGTGCATTGTGCCCCTATCGGCCTTGTCTCCATGTCGGGTCGTTCAGCTAGGTAGACTCGCTATCCGGTTTGGACAAGCCGGCAAGGCGCCCAGCCGCACAGTTCGTTCACCCGTCGCGCCTTCTTGCTTCGTAGACGATGCAATTTCACCACAGTTTTATGCTATGCTAATTCAAAACTACTGTACGGTATGTCACATGTAATTGTTTTAATGCATGTAAACATTATTCACTAAATCATGGTTTCATTTCAAAATGTCTGCAGGGTGTTTAAACCTATCATATTTTTTCTGTAATAGATTTAATCTCATCCAATCTAGATTTTCGTAATTGACGTAGATAGTATTTTGTCAAACAGAATATATTTTGACGACCTCGGTGGTCTAGTGGTCTAGCACACCGCTTTACGACCGATGGTTGCGGGTTCGATTCCTCGCACAGCACAAACATTTGTAAGCCGATACAAACAATCATACTCATGAAGAGTATGATTGTATCGGTTTGGGTGTTTTCTATGTATAATATGTGTGTATTTACAAAAAAATATCTATGTATATGTATCAGTTATCTAGTACTCATAACACAAGCTTTAGCTAGCTCAACTTGGGTCCAGATGGCTCTGTGTGAATTGTCCTGAGATTATTATTATTATATTTATAGGATTAGCGAAGAATCGACGATCGACCTGATTAAAAACGTCAGCCACCTATACTAATAAGTATACACGATACTATAACCGTTACTTAATATTGTACTGTAATAATAGTTATAAGGATTACATTTTTAAAAGAATGTATATAAAAAACTGATACCGATATTGAAACCTTTTAGAAGATATTCTTCCTCAAAATGCCGACAATATCCCTGAAATACCCCTGATGACGAGTGATCAGGGGCTCTACCTCTCTACCTCTTATGCTATATTTTAGACAAATTTTTAATTTCTTTAAAAATTGCTGTATTGTAGTATACTGTAGCTAGAAAAACTAGTTAGTCTACTAATATTAAGCTTTCAGCACAGGGTGGCCATTAAACTCTGCAATCTCGAAACATTAAACGAAATAGATAGTTTTAGTATTCGGTTGAGGCGGCCATTTTAACCACCCTCGGCGTTCTCGCCCATCTCCGCCAATTCTTTACCTATTTTTAAAGGTCATGTCGTACCTTCAGTTACCTTTATGAAATAATAATAATCATCTCAGGACAATTCACAGCGCCATCTAGTCCCAAGTTAAGCTATCTATAGATTATGTTACGGGTACTAGATAACTGATACAAGTACATAGTTAATTTTTTTTCGTAAATACATACAGATTATTCATAGAAAACACCCAGACCGATACAAACAATCATACTCACACTCATACCTTTATAAAATGTTTTCATAAATGTTTATTTACTTTTTTTATTTATTGGTTAATTGATTTCACTTACCTTGAGAGTTTGAATAGTAAGTAATTGTTTTTTTTATGGATGATAATGGAATGGTGCAACCGCCTGCCTAACGGTTTAGGCTGGATTATGTTAGCTAATTTCAAAACTACAGTTTTAAATGAACAGGAGAATCTACCGCCATGTCTTGAATTAATTTTGTTTATTGTCTCTGTTTGTCATTATTAACATTACCGGAAAGTCCAGCAGAAATAAAAATTGGCAAAGCGTTTTGGTTTCGGCCAGAATCAAAACTTGCTAGCTTTACGAACATACAGACCTGGATAACAACATAGTGTAGAAACCTCTCTTTAAAAAACGCGAAGTCATATAAATGGAAAGTAAGTTTACGTTGGCGGCGTTATTAAATCGCAGTTTTCCCATGCTTTTGAAACAAAATAACTACAGGTATATCCTAGAAACAAAGCCTAAATAAACTACCTCTTCGTGATTTCACCAAGAATTAACTATGACGGTTTCCACAGGGTCCGCGTGGAGGTCAACTTGACATAATCTATTGCTAGCAATAGTCATTTAGGGTAAGGACCGTTATTTGGGAATCTTAGTAGTTTTCATATACATATAATGTTTGTTAACAGGACAAGCTTTTCCCTTACGCTGAAGATCATGTAAAGCAGTTCCTAGAAAGCAAGTGGGATGAGGAGAAGGTGAAAGAGGCTGTTGATGCTCTCAGAAAGTTGTCTGTGGAGGACAAGGAGAAAAGTGTGGAGGGAGCTATTCCCATTCCTGGAGAGGTATGTTTATGGGATATTTTATTGAAAATTCAGCCTTATTCTTTGGATGATTCTGATAGTAATACTTATAATATAAATAAACCAGGTTTCTGAGAATAGAGGGTTGAAAGTGTATGATTATTATATTATAAATGTCAAAGTTGGTAAAGCTGTTTGGATGTAATAGCTATGTATTTAGTTTTTTGTTCTATTATACTCCAAATTCATAAGGGATTTCATAAACACAGGTAAATAAAATCTAAAATTCTAATTGATAAAATCCTATTCCAAGTAACCATGTAAAATGTGTTCTTATTAATTATATAAATACTTAATATTTGTAGTGAATTATAACTCATTTTCCAAAACTCTGTTATTTATTTTCATTTATTACATAGTACATATATCTATTATGTATCTTGATTTACCAAGTTTCAAACCGTTAATTTCCAGGATGCGACGAAAGAGGAGCAAATAGAGGGGCTGGTGAATAATGTGAAGTGGCAGATGTCGATGGACCGTAAAGCAGGTCCACTCAAATTGCTGCAAGGTCTTATTTGGAAGCAGGGATATGATAAAGGGGAGATCAAAGGACAGTAAGTGTCATAATGTAATATTTGATTAAAAATCTTCAATTACGACTTTGATAATAATATAACGGCGCCATTACGAGACTCAAAATTTAAACAATACAACATGAATCTTGATTTGGTGATGATATTAATATTGTGTAATATAAGAGGTTATCACAACTATCTTATGTGTGTAAGATACAGTTCAATTGATAACCTCAATTTCGATGGCAGTTGCTTTTAGATATAAGAAAAAACATTGATGTATTAAATTTAATACTAAGCATGTCGAGAGATACAAGCACATCTGTGCTTGAATTGAAAAGCTGTTAATGTGTTATATTGTACTTATCTATTTATAATTTTAACAATCGTATGAACCTGTGATATAACTTGGCAGTTTAATGAAATACTCCTATATATAATTTAAGATATTTCTGTGAGATAATATTTCGTTACATGTATTTATTAGTCCCTTATGTCAACTGTCTATGAATGAAACTCGATTGAAGGTTGGTGTGGAAGATAATGATATGAATATTTAAATATTTATAATATTACTGTGTTTTCTGTAATCATATACAGGGGAATATTTGAATATCAACATAAAGCCCACTTTAAATTATCCAACTACATTTGTATGTTATACATGATAGCAACACCATGTCTTTGAAATTACGTCATAATAGTATATCATTTTGTAAAACATATTACACTATAATGTATTGTATTGAAATTACTGATTTATACATACATGTAGATAATGTAACACAAGTATTACCTACCTACTAGTTTTATTTATTAATATTTGCTTTATTGACCAACGAAATATGGTACAAATTGTGGACTTGCTTATATCATTCCTTCCATTATATAATTATAAAATTGTTTTTATCCTTAACATTTTTGTTCATTATTTCTTGTGAATATAATGTATGGTTTGTAAAAAATTGCCTTATTATGGATTTATATAATATTTTATTGATTTATCATTGAATAAATATTTTTTCTCTATGTTTAAAACTATATTCTCTATTTTAGTGTATATGATGATGTGTCACCTGCCCTGGAACAGTGGCGTACTGTTGAAGGCCAGAAGGTGTACATTTACTCTTCGGGTTCTGTGCAAGCCCAGAAACTCCTTTTTGGGCAGTCAATGGCAGGCGACTTGCTTCCTTTAATTGACGGCCATTTTGATACTGCTGTAGGTGCTAAACAAGAAGCTGCCAGTTATGTTACTATTGTTGAACAAATTGGTTGCAAGTCGGATGAAATATTGTTTCTTACTGATATTGTAAAAGGTCAGTTATATTTACAATTTTATTTTAATTCAAACATTTTAGTAATTTAATGCGATTTTATTTTTAATTACAATGATTTATGTATAATTTACGATAAAATAAAAATAATAATGGTGGATTCAAATATCTAACTAATGTATTATTTACGATTTTACCTTTTTTATTTATATACCTATTGGAATAAAACTACCACTAAATTTTAATGAAACATTCAACAATATACAAAAACTGCACTAGACAAGAATTGTACAATAGTTTTTTTCTAAGGTTTATTTATTTTAAAGTACCTATAAGGGTCGTTTTAAATTTTATTATATGTTTTGATTTGTGACAGAGGCGGAAGCTGCTCGCGCATCTGGTTTACACGTAGCGCTAGTCAGCCGAGAGGGCAACGCCCCGCTGCCAGTAGAAGCTACATCCGTCTTCCCAGTGCTGCACAGTCTAGCGCAGCTGATCATCACCAACAAGCGCAAGCCAGACTCCCAGGTGCTTCATACCCTGCCTCAGTAGCACGCTTCCATGCATGCACTATGTAGTTTACTGTTTATCACATTTAGGTAAGTATGTTGTAGGTTAGTGGTGCTACTTGCTTGTATGTGCTTAAAACTTTAATATGTATGTGTATGGTTGAAAATAATGATACCACGAATAGTCAGCTTCAATTCGGTATTCTAGCGGAATACCGAATAGAAGCCTTTTTCCATATTCAAATTGTATTTTAGCATCTAAAAATGTAGGTTATAGCAAAAAATAATATGCATACCAAAAGACAGCATAACACTGAATACAAATTCATGAAAAAATGTAATAGCAGAATAATAGACATAGAGTACTTTTGCGATATTGATACCTATAAACTATTTAGCGGCAATATGCCACGTTCAAGAATAACATCAGATATCTAATGCACATTAAGACTTGGAATCTCTGGTTGTGTCCTGATATGTCACGGATACTGTTGTTTCTCCGTTATATTTTTGCACCCTATTAATAATACAAATTGGTATAATAAACAATGATCAAATAATACTGTGTGTTGTCACGGAGTACTATTACTATGCTGAATATTTGGTATTCTTCAAAATAACTGTTCGTGGTAACTTAGTCGGAAATAAACATGCCTTAATTGTAGTAGTAACTTGTAATTTGTTAACAAATAAAATTATATAATTTATTAGTCTTGTTTATAAAAATACCAACAAACTATAAGCTCTATACACAATTATATGTTTATATAAAATATAATCCATGTACATATAATTACATTGTTATAAAAGGTTCCAGTAGTCATATATGATTACATTTTTAACCTTAGATTAGAAGTGTACACCACTTGAAATAATGGTGTTTTATACAGTTCAAATAATAATCAAAACCAATTGAAAATAATAAGAACAGGTTCAATAATGTTATTGGATGTTTAAACTAAGTTTGTTATGCCTTAAATATTTTTTATGAATAAGACTGTGACTTATATGTGTAGTTTAATAAATTACAAAAATGATTAAACAAATACAAAATTGATTGACAAGAAGCTTACGTTTTTAATTTTGTGTGTATTTTCCGTTGGTAGAAGACATTTTGGACTACATATAGAACTGTTAATTCTTTAATTTTTGTGTTGAATGTTGTTAGTTTAATAAAATATTTTTTAAATAAAGCCTTTTAATAAAATGTAAATAATTCTTTATTTTTTGCACATTTTTATAGTTAGTCGTTTAGCACATAAGTCATAAGCATAGTCAAATTGAAATTTGAAATTCATCCGGTAGTAAGAGATAATTATAATTCGCATAATCATCTCCTATTTAATAAAGTAAGAGATAGTATAGAAAATATTCTATACTATTACGCTTCTCCTACGACCCATATGTAGACAATAACATTAAAATATTCCAAATGAAAATGGTTTGGCAATGCTATTGGTGTATGTAAAATAAATAATATACATAAAGTATGGGCTTTTGTAAAAGTGGTGGTGGTTTTAGTTACGAAAATAAATATATAGCGCCCAATTATAAATGCTATAATTGTGCAGTCAGCATGAATTGTTATTTTTTTTGTTGTTCAGTTATTATTATTGCTACACCTATTTTGAATATAGAAAATATTAGTTCTTAGAGTGGTGATGGAATCTTAATATATATAGTATGTCAATACTTGTTTACACTTAAGACAATTTCCAATTTAAGGTTGACAATTTCCCGTGCGTATAGGAACAATCCGCAAATGCGTCATCGCTATAAGCCAAGTAAATTTGAAATATTATCAAACCCTCTATCGTAATAGTCCAGCCGGATAAATCCTATGAATACAGAAGTGACTCATGTGCTGTGAGTGACTTATGTAGATAATATGGAGACCTCTATTCAGTACAACTATATTAGATTTTTTTTATTTATTTGTTAGCTTGGTGATATAGTTTTATATCTTACTAAATAACTAAATAATAAACGTATATGCAGCACCACGTAGGGCTATGCAAAATGTGTATATAATTTTGAGAACAGTTCCTGAAGAACTAGTTATTTATTAAAGCATAGTGACGTGTAAAGATATCATAGGGTTTACCTTTGGCATATACTACTGGACTAACAAATTATATACGCCACTAAAGCTGGAAAAGGTGAAAATTAACTGATCTGGTATGAAATTCTAACTTATTTTGTTCCGAGTATTGAATCCCGTTTTATATTCGTTTACTGTTTTGTATATGAAAAAACATTATAAACAATATTTATATCTACTATTTGTAAAATTATTACTGACTTGATGTGTCTCGGCGCTGCATGGAATTCGGAATCGCTAATAATAGTTCATCGCTAATAATTATTCCTTCAATTAATAGTGAAGAATTAATTTAAAATTGGTCAAATGATTTGAGTTTATCCATTACAAACTAAAAAAATAATATAATAAATTTATATAATATTAATATAGATACATCTGTACATGGCAACGTAGTTAATGTAGATTTATATAAGAGTTCCAGTCAACCAACCAACACTAGAAATCAATTCTTGTTTGTGAACTCTAAGGTGGTAGTTTCAGAATTCCACTTATCTTTATCTTTATTTGAATGTTTGCTATATGTTTTTTATTTATATCATATTAATTACAAATCATTTCAGGAAGAGCAACCAGCTAAAATAGCCAAAACAGATGTAGAGAATGATGTGAAGACAACACCCGAGAAGGACACTACCGAAGTCGCGATTACTCCCGCCAAGGAAACTGAAAAAGTAGATATTATGAAAGTAGAACAAGAAGTCTCGATTGAAGAGAAACCGAAAGAAATCAATAATGACCAGGAAATGACAGAAGTTGTTTCAAACACATGTGTAAAGGTAACAGATTCCAGTGAAGTAGCTGATATACCTTCAGTTAATGGTGTTGCCGAGATAACTGAGAATAATGTGGATAAGACTGAAGAAAAAGAGACTGAAAAGATGGATACGGAACAAATGGATACAGAAAAAGCTAATATCGACGCAGGTAACTCTGATGTACCTAATTCTGATAAATGTACTAAAGTAGAAGAAAAGCAAGATGTTGAAAAAGAAGAGACAAATCAATCTCCTACAGAAGAAATACCTTCCGTTGTTATTACAGAAATAGAAGATGTAAGTGATAAACAACCCTTAAATGAGAAGATCATTGAGGACCTGGAACCTGTGATTGAGGAACCTCCTGTTGTAGAAGATATGGAAGAATTACAAAATGCCGGAGAAGTCCTGGAAAAAGAATGTGATGAAATTTTGTCAAAGGTCCAAGGTGTAACAAATTTAGATAACATACCTCTAAAACCCCTACTAAATTCTATTGCTGAAGAAACAATAGAATCAGAGAATGTGGACTCTAACGATATTGTGGATAGAATACTTGATACAGAACTAGAAATGGAAATGAAACAATGTAATGATGTGGATTTGAATACAGTGGAAGAAATCAAGGAATCAAAGACTGACAAAGAGTGTGAAAACACTGTACAGGACGAGGCTAATACAGTTACTCCTGTAACAGAGGATGTTCCAGAACAAAAAACTACAGAAAATAATGTAGAGGCAAATTGTGTTACAGAGAAAGTTGAAGACATTAGGCCCACAGAAACAACAGCAGCATCAGAATGTAAACCAGACGAAAAAGAAAATGATGAGAAGTCAGATGATGTTGAAAGCAAAGAACCACCAGCAGTTCCGAACTCTACTGAAAGTTCTGATGCTGTAGTGACAGTTGCGGAAGACATTAAGGAAGTCAATAATGTTAATGAACAAGTGAAAATGGAAAGTGAGCCTAAGGAACCACATCTTAATGGTAAAGGGACAAATGGAACTACAGAGACTACGAATTTAAATGGCGATGCAAGCAAAAGTGAAGAACTGAATTCTAGATTGTCTGTTGAAAATGGCAAAGAAGTAATGAATGGTTCAAATGGAGATTCTATAGATGCTGAAAAAGTGCCAATCGAAAACGCAGTGGGGGTCGACATTAAAGTGAAGACAGTCGCCGTCGAGGAGCCCCATACTGATCAAATAGAGCAACCTACGGAAGCATAAGATAACTTGGTGAGTAACATAACACTTAAGGTACTCTATAATTTGTAGTACTTTTCAAATATATTCAAAGTAAAAAACAAGATTTGTTTATGTGTGTGTGCTAAAGAGTATAACTAAAACTTTTATTTAAAATATTTTACTAATAACTTCCAACATCTTTACACAATTTATATTATATAACATCTAGATGAACGTGTAAATTAAATATATAATGTTGCATGGGTAGCAGCTAATTTGTTACTAATGCCTGGCATTGTGATCTAAACTAAACTTGGATACAAGAATTGAGCACTAATAGTTATAAATATCTACTTCAAAAAGAGTTGTAAAAATTCCACCCGTAATAACATGTGACATACATTGTGAGTTAAATACACAGACATACTTATCATTTGTCATATTATTATAACATATTTTTACAGTGAAAAGGGGATATCAATTGTTTTTATGTAATTAGAATGCAACCCACCAATTGGAGACATTAACATTAATGTGGTAATACCTCTTTTGCTTTGTAGCAATATCATCCTTCAAACCGTGATTCGGCTTGTAAAGCTTCTGCATGTAGAATTAGGTTCTGTTGGTATCCTGGTAGGACTTCAGAAGGTGACTTAAAATTATAAGAATCTACAAAACAAAATGTAAATTAGCTCGACTACTTTTTCAGTTGATGTCAATCATTTACAGAACATATAATATTATTTTCAGCGTACGACGGGCGAAACAGCAGGGCGTAGTAGCGTTGTTGGTTCACATCTGAAGATTGACAAGACTGAGGTTGCTTTCACGCTAACGACATCACATCTTATATATGTGTATTAAAATTTCACTGTGTACCATGCTAGGGCCATTGTACACTGCTGCTGCAAACTAAGACATTAAATTTAATATGTCCAACTAAATAACTATGGTAATACGAAACTGAACTACATGTGCAAGAAACTAAGTCATCTTTGAAGCTATTTTTTGATTCTACTAATATTATAAACATAAATGATGAGATACAAAGTGGATAAATGAATATTTGTTACTCCTGTACGTAAGAACTACTCGACGGATTCGAGTGAAATTTACCAACTCTTACATTATTATTACAGATTAAGACAAGATATTTTACGTATTAAAGCTGACAAAGCTGCGGGATCCATCTAGTATTTAGTCAGGGCGTAGTCGTTCGTAGCTGAAAATATCTAGATAGATCATTTACATTATTAGTTTGGAATTTTAATTCTAACGTGTAATATGAATTTAGTAACTGGTATAAAACAGAATAGTTACTTGGAGATATTTATATGAAAGGTTCGAAAAATATCTTCACATTTCTAACTAATTCTTTGGTTAAATTTGTTCAGGTTTTGAGAATCTCCTTTATCGAGTATTGATAGAATCGACATAATAACGGCGAACTATACTATAGGTTGCATTACGATATGTTCTAATTTTCTGCTAGATACAATAGTGATAGTTTGCTTATCGTAAAGATTTGGCCTAAATTGTTAAGTATTATTTACTATGCAGTATTATCCATTAATTTTTATAAAGTATTACGAAACATAATCATAGTAATTTATTCCTGCTGAAGTATTACGACGAGTCCAAGTTATAGTGTTGACTTAATATTTTTTTATGGCGGCCATATTTGGTGCTTTATTTTAACAATGCCAGTCTGCTAGTGTACACTGACCTTAGCTTATTTGACTTAGGTAAGTTTTATTATTAAGTATTAACTGTATTGTGATTCTTAATTATCGTATACTATATATTACTCGATTTTTTCTTGAATTTTCACCTACTGCCAAACTCGTGCCGCATTTGAGGTTGGTTAGCGGGGTTATTGTGATATTGAAACGGATTATAAGACTGTAATACGATTATGAACTGATTGTGTGGGCTGTGCTAGTAAAGTATTTATTGAACTAGGTGTGAGGAGGTCACGCATTGTATGCGCTTGATTTTAGTTTTGTATTTTTTATTATTGTAATTTATGTTGATATCTGGGTTTTGTGTACTATATATTATTGTGAATGTCAACTATAATGTTTGGGATGCACAAATAGTTTTGTCACAAATAGTTTTTTTTATTTTTTAATGATCTGACATAATTTAATTTGTTTTTACCAGAGAGGTGATTAAGTTTTATGAAACATGTATGTACTTTATGTTCTTAGGGTGGAACGAATTCTGTAGGTTATAAATATCAGAGCTTGTAAATAAGTATTAGGTATGAGGATCGAATTGGAGATGGAATGTCAAATTTAATTAATTTGTCTCTTATATTAAAAAAAGGGGAGATATGGCACGTTTATACATCTTGTAGGTTGGACTCCATTTTATTTTGCCTGTAATTTGGACCGTTTTGCGTGATGTATTTACATGTTATGTTACTGAAAGTAGACTAAGAACTTAACAACCGAATGAACTTGGTCCGATCGTAAGAGTTCAGACGCCACGTCTATATAGACCACTGGACTTGGCTGTTTGTGATGAGCTCGTGCCGTATCTTCCACTTTTTATTGTCTTATTCTAAGATTTCTCTGTCTAATGAAACTGAATTGCTAAATTTAAGGACGAAAAGCTATCCACCTCTGGCCATTGTTTAAATGTTGGCGTGGTGCGAGTTTTTTATATGTTCCTATTAACCAGTAATGGTAGCTATTTTATTTCTCTGCGTGTTTTGTTAGTTGGCACGTCTCCGTCAGTTAAACAATGGCAGTATAATGAACTAGTCAAAAGTATTAGAATCTCAAACTTCGACTAGCTGAACTATAATTAAAAATCGAAGATACTATTTTTAATTCTTTTAATCTATTACTTAGCTTCCGTAGTACTTAGTTGTTAGGCCAAGAGAAGAGCGAAGGACAGTATACCAACATCAAATGTAGGCACGAGCTTCTTCGTTTAGACTGATTTTTACTATTTGTCACTACTTTCTCCACAATTATTATCTCTACATTGGATTAATTTAAAGATAAAGTTGCCAAGTTCCAGTGATTGTATTTCCTAGTTGAGGTAATGAATGTGAGAAAAATATAACCTAAGGTACCTAATCTAAAACATTTGGGTTCATACATTTATTGTAAAGAAAGGGACGCATCTGGATCGCAATTGAAATGTATTAATTTTAATTGTCATCACTAATGATGTTGAAATATAATGGATGTAGAATTTTTTGTTATTATTTAATTTATTTACCTTATCTCTACAGTAAATACATAAATCTCTGATTCAGTTCTTACTAAATTACTACCACATTTAGTAAGAAACATTTGTTTACAAGAATTCTACAGAATATAGAAATTAATTTCTTTTTTAATCTGAATATATCAAGTAAACCAAAGATCGTGGAAAGTCTAGATTATACAAATTTAATATATAAAACTTTTTTACTCTTTTAACGCTTAGTGCGATTATATTAGTGATAGTAGATTAGTGTACTTTCATTGACACGCTATACGCCTTTGTGGCAATACCAGAAGCGTGCTTTGTCTCGGCCTTGGAATCGTTCCAGTCTAGTCTACTCACATTTATGAGTATTAGCTGTTAAGCTAGTCGTCCCCATCTGTCTGACGTGGGTCGGTCGGATGGGGACGGAACTGAACATGGCCTATGGGTACTTTTTTTTGCTTTATTACATAAAATTATTCACATATCTACATATACTAATATTATAAACAGGTAAGGCTTGTGTTTGTTTGTTCGGGGTAATCTCCGGTTCTGTTAATATGATTTTAAAAATTCTTTCACTGAAAGAATATTTAAATACTCCTGAGTGCTATAGGTTATATAACATCACACTACGATTAATAGGAGCAGAGCTGCATTGAAAATATGCTAAAAAAATTTAGTGCATCCCCTTCGTGCTTTGCATAAACGGTTCAAGTTACGCAAATATATATATATGGTATAATTGTTCTCCTTTAAATGTTTATAAAAATCCACGACAATATATGTCAATTTAAGGTTAATTCACTATATTTTTTTTTATAGTAATCAAAATGCATGATTTCCAAAGGTGTTTTTTTTAAACATTACTGTCTTACAGTAAGTTAAACAAATATTGCAGCATATGCGAAGTCGGAGCGGATTGCTAGTTATTTATATAGTGAGAAGACCAAAAACATTGAATCCTGAGGTGACTTGTAACAAATCGTCTGCGTGTGTACCCCATTCTAAAAGAGAAGAAACGTGTTAGGTGTAATCCTTATTATTCTAATATAAATATCAATAGATTATCTATATTTTAATATGTGAAGTAAAACATTGTACTCCTTTTTACAAAAATTGCACGGAATATGAAATTTCGCACACTTATTTAATACATAGAGTTTTTTTTTTCCCATATTCGTCCATCTCCTTTTCAGTGATGGAACAGGCAAAGATCCTTAGACCGTACAGCCTAGTCTACTTTTAAACTTCTTCATATTTGAACAAGTGATGAGGCCAAAGGCCAATTCTTATGTATGTTTATTTATTATGTTTTCATTCGTGTTCCAAATTTAAGTCTTATCCGTAGTCCATATCCTTGTATCAATTATTTAAAGTTTTATCGATATCGAGGTAACGTATAAATATATAGGTATATATGTCACGCGGGATTTTTTCCGGTTTCTTGTAAATGTTCAGTAAATTATCAATAAAGACCAAACGTTGAATATTATAAGCGGAAATTAATACATAGAGAAGGAGTGCAGAATGCTATATTTTTTTAATTATGCTTATAAATATATTAAATAAATAAAACAGACTACTACACACACTATGTGTTTGTCACACACGCATATATGTAAGTATATATTTTTTTGTTTATTTGTTATTGCTGGTTCTATATAGGTGGTATCTTTTAGTATTTTTTATTGTGATTGAACTTCGACCATTGTGCAACCACTAGTAATTATTATAGAGCTAAATTACAATAATAATGTTAAAGCAAAGTATATTGTTTCTGTTGTGTATAACAGATGGCGCTGTTAACCGTTCGTGCACATTTGTAGCTCTGAGTGATCTGACTTTCCCATATTGTTTAATTCGCTTGTAATTGCCTATCTTGGTCGATTCAGTGATTCAGGCATAATCAACCCGGAGAAACAATTAGGAATCCAATGTTAGACGAGCTGTCTTCAAATTTTATATTAAAATAAGCGAATTTAAAAGAAATAAAATAATATCGACCTATTGAGCTACTACAAATCAATAAATATTTAATGTTCTTGAATACAAATGTATGTATATGAATATTAATCAATATAAAAATATCCCTGAAAACACGATTTTAAACTATTCCTGCATTTTAGTAGGTAGCTGTACTTACTGTATTCAATGATAATTCGGGACTGTCCACTTCGAGATATATGATTATATTAATTTGTGACGAAAACAGACGTAAGGGGGTCTTCCTATGTGACGGCCTGTTTTTTAGGGATATTTTAGGATTTTTTTTCTACGACCAGTAAATATTTAGAGCTTCAAGTTTTTTATCATTTATTAACACATATTTGGACAGTATAAATATAAAATTTCAGCTAAAAATATTCAGTCAAACTAGAGTTACAGCGCTCTGAACACCCCCGCCTCGAAAAAAAGAGCTCCCACTTCCTCCACGATTCCGGCTGATCGGCTTATCTGAAAAAAAAAAAAACGGCGTTTTAATTTGTAGGCTTAAAAGCACGGAATGACCTATAATCAAATGAATATAAAAAAAATTGGATTTTTATAGACATTTGAAATAAAAGTTGCAAATTAGGCGTTTTTTTTTTTGTTTTTTGCTATAAAAAAATCGAAGTTTTGAAAATTTTCGATTGATAATAGTTCATTCCATGCGTTTACATATATTGAGTGTGCCCTGTAAATTTCAAGTAATTCGGTCCAGCCGTTTCTGAGATACAATGGAGGAAAGTTTGAAAAACACAGTTTTGAGAAAAACGCGTTTAAAGTTTCAAGTCCGTTAAAAACTATTAAAATATCAACTTACTCTCAATCGGCGATGACTGGTCCATAGAGTATTCCTTCCTCTTCCTCGTGAAACTCTTTTAAAGCAGATTGTTCAGCTCTTGAGTCAATCCTGGCTTGTTTAACGACATCACTTACGCGCCGCTCAGAGCGTAAGATTCGCTTTTCATCCCGTTTCTCAACATACGCTTGGGCTTCACGACCAACAGGGCATCCCATAATCGACATAACTTTTAAAATACCTTGAAAACCTTCATTAAAGATAATAACTGCTAAGTAGCTAGCAATTTCAACAACTTTGGGACCAGAATGAAGATGTTTAGGAGCGAAAGTCCAAATCAAAGAATTCAAAGATTCGTTATTGTTTTGTGTCTCTGCTCCTAAACAACGAATTAATAATTCGTCTTTCGATAAATCTTCGAAAACCGGTTTGATAGCTTCTTGGACTTGCGGAATTAGAGGTGGTTTATCGTGATGAAATTGGTCCAGTTCATTATTAGCTTCAGCCTTACGCCATTTACACCAACTGTCTTTGCCTTCTGGACAAAATTGATGCTGAGGGTTTTCATCAGAAGAACATTTGTGATAGTACGTTGCCCAAACTTCCTTTCTCATATCTTCAAGCGAATCTGGATGGCGTCGAATTGCTAATCCGTAGAATTTTGTAATTTCTTGGATAACTTTATCAGTAAGTTTACCTGCTCCTTTTCCTCCTATTCCTTTATTGGTTTTATCCTTTTTAAATCTGTAGAAACGTGTCTAAACTTGTATAAACAAATATATTAATAAAAGGGAGGCCAGGTATAAAGCCGACGGTACACAATAGGCCCGGTCTCTAACTGCCAACTCACCGCTCCGAACCGCTCTTTCTTTTACCTGCTGTATCTTTAAAACGACTTCGAATTTTCTAAAATCGCTTTACTACCGTATTCTAGACATGTTAAGGGAGCAATTTATGAAAAAAAAAAAATCGATTTTTCAACCCATCACATAGGAAGACCCCCGTAAACACGTATGGATTAAATAGTATCCAAGGTAAATTTGTAAAAATGCAAATCAATTTTAAATTATAATTAACCTGAAAAAGATATTTTAAAATTAGTTTAGAATGGACAAAGATATGTACACAGTGAAGCAAAAACCTCGCATATTTTTAAAGTCGGTTTAAAAGCTAATAATGGAAGGTCAGCGCAAAATTCGGTACAAGCGGGTAGTGGAACTGCGAGGTGATGTGGAGGTTATGAATACAAAAGGTATAGAATTGTTCAGCATTGCGGTCGGGGAACGGAACGCAACGGGCGTGAACCGGCGCACGCTGCCACGGGTGAATATTCTACACATTCCACGAACAAAGCAGGATAATCTAATAGTACCACATTATTTTTGCATGACTTTTTTATTTGATGATCATGAAATGTTGTTTTTTCGCTAAAGCTGCTTTGCTTGCATATAGCAGAGAGTAAAAGGTCTAGATTAAAAGATTGAGTACTAAATTATATAATTTAGCCCGTCTTGACGAAATCATCTGTCTCTGAGGGATCCGCGTGGACGTTGCGTCGCGTCTATTTGACAGGGTACACTGCTAGCAATCGACTAATAGTATTTGTTACTAATAAGCCGCTTAATTATTTGCCTATATTTTTATTATTTGTAATAGTATGATTAATGACTTTATGGACAGATTTTCTATATTCCAGATTATGTAATTTTTTTTAATAATGTATATTTTTAGAGATTTAAGAATACAACAACGAAAAGTGATTATAATTTATTAAATAGTATTTTCCAACCATAGGAAAAACTGTTGTAAGTCGTGAATTTAACTGTTTTGTTAACACATTACACTGTTGGCGACAGCTCCTCAAGGAGAGCAATGGACTGTATCGATGGTGGGGTTTGAAACAAATGGTTGTCTCTTGATGCTTCAAGAGACAACCATTGGTTTCAAACCCTGTTTATTCTCTCCACAGAAGTTTCACAATTGAGTATAGCCTAAAGTCTCAGGATACCGAATATTTAGTAATTACCTTAATACTCACAACATACCGTTGTACTGAACAGTTGTACTAAATATTTTCATATATATCCTTCCTCATTATTGTGATAATCTGCGATACCATTCGTGATTGGAGACTGTTCGTAATATTATCTAGCGCTATACAAGATAGCAGCCGGACGCCGCCTGACGTCAGGGATTCTTGTGCACGCGCAGTCAGCCGCTCTG